TGACGATGAAATGTAAATCCGATTGCCCGATTGAGATCATATTATATAGAAAAGTAATTCTCACTTTCGTTAGATTATATCTAAGTGCAAATTTTATTTTTTATTATTAAAAATAAAACTGATATTTATAAAAGCAAGATGGCCACCATGGCAAGATTCTTCTCTTGTTATTTTTCTGGATTAACACCACTGCATTATTGCATGGTTTTTGGCAAGCAGCAGAAAATCATTGTACTTTGTCTGTAGAAAGAAACAAAAAAAATATTTTTTTTTAAAACACTAGTTTATTCATTTGCTGTATGACCTTTTCAGGATAACATTGAAAGATCTCAAAGCTTTCTTTCCAAAAGTAAATTGTAAGCTATCTACAAGCAAATTGAAAGAGTACTTTCAAGTAAGTATCTTTTGCACTTTTCTGGCTTTTGGGTCATATTTATTTGGTTTCCAAAATGCTGCTCAGCTTTATTATGTTTATATATTTTCCAAGAGGCATTTTCTTGTTCTTATTTAATGCATGCCCACATTTATAAATTGCTCTCTGGTTTTTATAATGATTGAGATAGAAATTCACTTTTCCCTTCTTAGAAGTTTATGGCGTTATGATCTATCTATATGTGCTATTAGTGATGAACTGCGATGGTCGCTAGTCTATTTGTCTTGAGGAGAGTAAGTGCAATAGGAAACATAAAACCACTTTCGTTGACTTAACAAATGGCACAGTTCACAATCTGCCTTTGACTTGTGGTATCAGCTATGTTGGCCAAAGTGGACGATGCCTTAATGATAGGCTTGGGGAATATCACTACTTGTCAGAAATGAGAAGGGGAGGGGAGTAGACACACTGTAGATCTTGCACTGTTATAACTAATGATTCTTCAATTCCGAGCAGAAGTAGCAATCAGTTAACCCACAAAATCATCAAGCCACAAAATCATCAAGCCAGAGTTAATTGTTAGATTAGGTAATGCATGGTTTTCAGAGCCGTCAATTGCTCTTTCAAGGAAAGAGCTATGTGTCTTGCGTCATGACAGGAATTTCGTGCAGACGGTGCACACGTGATGTATCACTGGTTTTTAGCTATGTGTTTGCTTCTTTCCAAATAAAGTACTATATCAAGTCAGTGCTCGTGTGTTACGTCTGTTCTCTGTCATTGTATGATGCGCTTTCCCCCTGTATCATGCCAATCAAACAAGTGCCAGTTTTTTTAGCACTTTCTCTCCTCTTAAGGCGGAAATGGCTACTCACTGACTTGTCTTTTTATGAAATAGCCATGCATGATGTACAGTACAGTCCACTGTTAAAGGAGATCTATCTAGTAACGTTGGTTAAAGGGAACACTTGAATGAACATCATTTGTATTGCTAGCCACCTAAGAGCCAGTGTATAAGTAAACAATCTTTATGCACATCACTAGTCTGTCGAGAGGAGTCAGAACTGTCAACCACCAGTAGCCTCATGCAAATCTAAGCCACTGTTCTTCTGTAAGAGAGCAAAATCCAAACATGCTGAGCAAGCAGGTGTTCTCTTTAGCAGCGAACTTGCCTGCACAAGTGAGGATTTCTCTCTCTTGAGCATCCTGTTTGGAGACATTAGTTCAGATTCGGAATGTCATAAAAATGTGACAATAGGCTAGAAGGGACTAATAATAGTAATAAACTAGCCGTTCACAGCAATATTGTTTTCTATATTGCTGTATTTTTGCTTCATTCTTTCAGGGCTGTGATAAATTTTACTGCTCTGCTGTGGCCTATAGCATTCTTTTCAATACTATATTTGATTAACAAATTGAAGAAATTATATATTGTTCTGCTCTGAAATAATATAAACAAATAGTAAAGTTTTCTGCCTATAAATTTCAGGAGGTTGATACCAACAGAGCTGGTGAAATTGGGTTTGAAGGTTTTGCATCACTGTATCACAATTTGATGCATGATGAGAAGGTAAGCTGCCCAAGAATGTTGATTGATTTGTGGGGTTTAACGTCCCAAAACCACCATATGATTATGAGAGACGCTCCCAAGAATGTTCTCTATTGTCATTAGCTTGTAAGGCAAAAACACATGTCCGGTGAAAGTTCATTGTAACAGAAAATAGATGAAAACATTCTTTATATGAGAATTGCTTTTGGCTAGTAATGCAAGAGATATTGGCACATGAGATGACTTAAGCACAAAAAAAAAAAGTAGACAACACAAACCACCGAGGAACAATAGGTGAAAATAAAGAGCGTCAACTCGCAACTAAATTCATTCTTGCAAACCCCCGCATATATAGGCACCATGTGACGCATACGCAAAACACACCATTACCATATTACATTGAGATTGAAGGCATGAGTGCAGTATTCATGGAAACTGTTGTAAGTGCATGTGTCATATGTGAATATCTTGATGTGTGTATGCAATTGAACTGTTATGTTATATCTGTCAAGCCAGTTTGGAAGGTTTACTAAACATTTTGTTGGAAACCCCTTCAGCTGCCCTTAAAGGGACTGTCTACCGTCCTTCATTGCTCTCCTGTTTTGTGTCGCAATAAAAAGCATACCATGTGAAGTGTCTAACCTTGAAGCGGTTTCTCTGAAAAGTGCGTGGAAATTTTTAAAGCATATTTTTTTCTGTTTGCGTTCTGTCTCCTTCTATCGGTGGGATGAATGCTTACAACATTGTTTGGTGCTGGTGGAAGTCGAAAACTAAAACCACGTGCGCTTTTTGCAGGCTTCATCAAGTTTTATTTATTATTAAAACAAATATCTGAGTGGTCTTTTTAGGCAGGCACACATGTTTTTGTTGTTTTCATAAGTGGCGGTAGACGCCCTGTTCGCGTTTCTTCGCCATTTGCAGGCAGGCGTGCAGGCGATCGAACACATCGTCGGTAGCGCCACCGGGCAGCTATTTGAATGCGTGAGGGAAAAAAAAAAGCAAATATTAGACTTTGGCACCACCTAAAGCAGCCTCAAGTTCATAAAATACAATTTCAAGTTATACATGCTTGTTTCTAAGCTAACTATAAATCTTCCTGCGAGGATTTCTTGTCCTACCAATAAACTGTCAAGATCGACCACATTCGCTGTTGGGTGACGCTAGTAGTCACTTTTTATCAACTTTCAACATCAAGTTAAAATGATAATTCCTTTTTTCTGGTATGAAAGCATGCTTGTTGCCGCCGATGTGATGAGCAAGCAATCTTGTCATTTGCGGCACAATCAGAAAATTCTTTCCGAGTGGTAGACAGTTTTTTTAAAGAAATCACTGAAATGGGACATACATTTCTTCTCGCCCTTTCATTCCTTGAAGTGTGAAACTACATTTTTCTAGCAATCAACAGTAAGGGGACTAAAATTGCAGTGAAGTGGTGCACTTAGACTGCACAGTTTGTTGGTGACATCTAAACAGGATCCAATAAGGCAACATACACAGACAAAACTTATTGTGAAAGCAGTCTACATGATTAATCATGGCCACAATTCATCAGCAAAGTTCGCAAATACACCATGCATGATTAATCATGGCCACAATTCATCAGCAAAGTTCGCAAATACACCATGCAATTTGACTAATGAAAAGGCTTGTAAAATACCAAGAAGTCACTTGAAGACTGGCACATCTACTACTGCAAGATGTGCTGTATAAACCTCAGGTTACATCCGAGAGGATACTCTAAGTAGCATATACAGCCAGGGCTGACTTCTGGCCTAGCTGGTACAACATATTAAAGCATTTAGAGCAGATTTACAAGACACCAAAATGGGACAAGATGAAGGAAACACGCATCACCCATTTACGTGTGTTGTTCCATCTTGATAAATTTGTGCTAAACACTTCACATATACAGTCAGGCTGTTCTATGAACTACGTTGTGCCGCAGGAATATGTAATTGTATATATTTTTAGATTGTTCCAATAAAACACTGGTTTTCTTTGTTACGTTAAAATTTTCGTTCTAATACATATAAGGAATGAGTGTGACATGGCTGTCAGATTTTTGCAAACATTTTTTGATATTGTTTTCATTTTACTTATGGGTCAATTTGGTTTTACTTGGGTTAACCGAGTATCTAATTGCCCAGTGTTTCACCATTTGATTTTAAATTTTTGCTATCATTTTTTAAGCATTCTTCTTGTTTTCCTGACACTTTCTTCTTTTCCAGCTGTTTGCCGATTTCTTCAAAATGTGTACCGATGAAAATGGAAAAGTCACTTTGAAGACTTTCCAAAAGTTTCTCATTCAAGACCAGAAGGTAAATTATCTAGCCATTTTATGCTTCTTGTACATAAATATGCATACGCCTTGATTGTTTGCGTAATTTGACACCGTGTAATGTTGTAAGGCATGTTATTTGTGTCCACTGAAAAAACAGCATACAGCAATCAGTTCTTAAAAACTAAACATGTTGGGAGTTACTTTGCAAGATTCTTTTTCGAGCAGCTGATTAAAGTACTTTTTGAGTTGTTTCAGAGGTACTCTCAGTCATTTCTGGAAAAGTATTCAACTGAATTGTGAAAGAACACAATGTTTTTGTTTAGTCAGAAAAAATACTCCATGTCTTGTCGATCCCTATAAAAAAATTATGATGCTGTTTGGCAAAAATGAGATGTTGCCTAGTTCTGCTGTCAAAACAAGATACATTTCTGTATTTCAGTGCACCTCTTTGCTAAGTTCAGTGCGCACAGCTGAACACTCTCCATCATTTTGGTCGAGAAAATAATGGCTTACTTTCTAGCATGGTGGCAGAAAAATGAAGGTTGCTTATGAGCTCATAGGGCTTCAGTGTTTTTCAACCTTCTCGGGATTGTCATCTTTTATTTGCTCTTTCACTTTTTCTTTTTTTTTTTGACAGACTGATTCACTTCAGTTTGTGTGAGGTTGGTTTTGGAATGTTGAACCTCAGATAATTGTATATGAGTTTGTGTATGTTATTTTCATGCTAGTTAGCTACGCTGTGCAGCTGTTAAAAGTTCATCTTTTCACATGCATCAAATTTACGTAAATTACTTAAAGACCTTCACAATTTTATTGCAATAAAGTTATCTCATAGTACATCAATATATGTGTTTTATAGTAATTATTTTAAATGAATTATATTTGAATATTAATTTATTCTGAAGTCATTTGTGTTATGGCTTTGCATAAACAAAATCAAATCTCAGGCTATAAATATAGTGCAAATTTGTTTTTGATTATATTTATTTTGAGTCCAGAAAAATTGCACTTTAAATGTGGCATGTGGATAGTGGCATACCTCGTCAAACATGGCAGTGTCTTCGAAAAAGTGATAATATGCAATGCTACACTTGAAAAGAAGTTAAATGAGGGCGTATTTATCACTCAGGAGGTTCACTTGACCTAGAACTCAATGTATCTTGCCCTTTCTTAGCCCCCTGTTTACCCAGCTAGCAAAAAAAAGTGTACACAAATGTGTATAAAGCACCTCCAGGACTATGAATAAAGTTGCACCACCTCAGAGGGTTAGAGTTGATAGCTTGTACAAAGCCCCCGCAGGGGCGCCTGCGCAAGTAGCGCAGTTTGGTGTGTAGTTTGGTGTGTAGCGACACCACGGACCCGAGCTAACGGGGGAGTTTTGACTCCCTCCCACGCCTAGCCGTGCGTGGCTTTGCCGTGTCTGTGGAAAAGGGGATCCTGGGGATTGAGCTGACGCTGGGTGATTGGACCTTTAAGGCCCCCCCGCAGAGGCAACACATCCCTTTGGCCCTGGCTTCACATAGACGGCACCCCCGGATTGACCCGCCTGGGGAAAATCGGCAGTCGCCTTTTCCTGTCTCCCCCTCACATCTTCGTCTTTTCTCTTACTTTAAATCTTTCCTGTCCTCTACTCTCTTCCGTTGACTTCCATGTTTCCTGGCGGCAAGGGTTAACCCTGTGTGGCTATCCTACCTTGGATACACCATATTCGGTTATAGTGGTGGTGTACAGCTGGCGTCTGCAGGGCCTGTGCTTACAGACCCTGCAGCGTCCCCTTGTAGGACTCCATGGTGGGTGGCTGGCGCCGCTGCCGAAAATAAACCTTTTCTTATGGCTAGTTTCTTCCCCCCACTCCCTGATCGCCCTCAGAAAAGAGGGCGCACCGATGAAGTCTTCCAGTTTTTTGGCCACCAGAGAGTATCCTTTCCCCGATTCCACGTTATCCACGCTGACACACCCGGCAAACCAGTGCGAACAATTTCACCTTTTCTTGTTTCAAAGTCTTTGACAGAAATCTTTGGCTCAGGATATAAAGCATCGAGAATGGCAAGTGGTGACCTCCTGTTGGAGCTCCGCGACCAGAAACAATATGAAAAATTGTCTAATCTAGTGAAATTTGGAGACACCAAAATTATAGTAACCCCACACCGAACCATGAACACCACCTGTGGCATTGTTTCAGATGATGACCTGTTAGGGCTGACGGAGGCTGAACTCCTGGAGGGTTTTAGCGAACAAAATGTCATCAATGTGAAATGAATTAGTATGAGGCGTGATGGCGAAGAAATCCAGACTAAGCACCTGGTACTTACTTTCAATTCAAGTGTACTGCCCGACTCCGTTGAGGCTGGGTACATCAAGCTTCGAGTGAGGCCATATATACCGAACCCTCTCCAATGTTTCAAATGCCAGCGGTTCGGCCACAGTTCTCAGAACTGCCGAGGCCGCCTAACTTGTGCGAAATGCAGTGCTGAAGAACACACATCCGATACCTGTGGAAACTCTCTTCACTGTGCGAACTGTAACGGGGAGCATGCCGCATACTCACGGTCATGCCCATGCTAGAAAAAAGAAAAGGAAATTGTCACAATTAAAGTAAAACAAAACATTTCATTTAGGGAGGCATGAAGGCAGGTGTCCTACCTACCAGAAACCAGCTTTGCCGAAGTGGCACGTCAGGGGGCAGTGCCACGACGGCCCCCGGCGCCTGTCTAGCACACGCGTAGTGAGCCAGCGGTGACGCCATCCGCCCCCTCGGCGGTTGCAGCATGTGCTGCTCCGCCATCCAAGAAAGACGCACCAACCTCTGGGCTGGGGGCCGCGAAGGTCTCGTCTTTTGAGGCGAGGCCCTCAAAACAAACGCAGCGCTCGCAAGAGCGCGTGTCCAGCGCCTCGCAAGAGGCAATGGACACAACACCGAGCGTGAGGGCGCAGCCAGCGCTTAAGGATCGGCGCGACTCTGTCGACCGATCCAAAAAAGAAAAATCTCGTGTCACGGCCCCTGGAAAGGGTCCGTGAGCTTACTTTCCATCCTTGAGCACACAACACAAAACACATCTAAAATGGACACACAAATACTACAGTGGAATGCCAGAGGCCTATTTAATAACCTAGATGATATCAAAGACTTGCTTAATGACTATCAGCCAAAAGTGTTCTGTGTTCAAAAAACTCATTTAAGGTTGACTCGTGAATTTCTTAAATCAATATGTGGTTTTTCGTAAAGATAGAAATGGTGGCAATTTCTCTTTTGGAGGTGTGGCTATCATTGCACAAAGAAGCGTAGCATGCCAGCACATTGTGCTACAAAGCTCTCTTGAGGTTGTGGCTGTTCGCGCTATTCTATTCAACCGTCTTATATCTATCTGCTCAATCTACATAGCCCCTGACGAACTATTCAATAAAACAGAGTTCGAAAAGCTTATTGATCAGCTTCCAGAACCATATGTGTTAATTGGAAATTTTAATGCTCACAGTTTGCTATGGGGTGATACCAAGTGTGATGCGAGAGGTCGTGCAATAGAAAACTTTCTTCTCGCATCTGGAGCCTGTCTGCTCAATAAGGCAGAGCCAACATACTTCAGTACCACACACAATACATATTCATGCATAGATTTAGCCATTGGGTCACCGTCACTCCTACCTTACTTAGATTGGAAAGTTATTAATAATCCATATGGAAGTGACCATTTTCCAACTCTTTAGTAACAAAACAACGGGATGACCAGCCGTCTTATCCTAAAAAGTGGAACTTTCATGTTGCAAACTGGGTGAAATTCAGAGAGCTATGTACACTACACCTCGAAGAGGTAGATCATTTGGAAGTAGAAGAGATGGCCAACTATATTTCTGAATATGTTCTTACTTGTGCAAAAAAGTGCATACCGCAGTCCAGGAATGATAAGGTTAACACAAAGCCATGGTGGAATCGGGAGTGTGAAATTGCTGAAAAACGGTAAAACAAAGCATGGAGGACTTTTTCTCGCTACCCAACAGCAGAAAACTTGATAACCTTTAAAAGTTGCAAAGCGAATGGCAGGCGTTTTCGCCGTATAGCCAAACGGGAAAGCTGGACACGCTATATATCCTCAATAAACTCCTACACAGACGTCAGCAAGGTTTATAACAGGGTGCATAAACTTAAAGGACAAGGCCCAAATCCCTTCTCTTTGGTGAATGACTGCGGTGATACAATAGAAGAACAGGCAAACGCTCTTGGCGAACGCTTCGAGAAAATGTCAAGCTCAGAAAAGTATACCACTAAGTTCTTACGCCACAAAAGCATTGCTGAAAGTGTACCTCTGTGCCGGAACAAGCCTGTATCAGACGGATACAATAAACCACTAACACTATATGAACTGAAGCTTGCCCTTGGTTCCTGTGGAAGTTCTGCTCCTGGTTCTGATACAATTACCTATGAAATGATCAGAAATTTCCCTGATGAAACCCTGAACTGCCTTTTAGCACTTTACAACACGATTTTCAATACCGGCAAAATACCCTCTGCTTGGAAACAGGCAATAGTACCTACTACCAATCCTTAAACAGGGCAAAGATCCCTCTTCGGTAAATAGTTACAGGCCTATCGCCCTCACAAGCTGCCTACTCAAAGTGTTTGAAAAAAGGATTAACTGCCGCTTGGTCTATTACTTGGAATACAACGGCATACTGGACCCGTGCCAGTCTGGTTTCCGTACAGCTAGATCCACAACCGACAATCTTGTCCTCCTCGAGTCGTATATACGTGACGCGTTTGTACACAATCAATACTGTCTGTCTGTTTTCTTTGATCTTGAGAAGGCATATGATACTGCCTGGCGATACGGAATCCTGCAAGATCTACTGTCTTTCGGAATATGTGGCAGGTTGATTACCATCTTAAAAGATTACCTGTCTGAAAGGAAGTTCCGTGTAAGAATAGGTACTGTGTTATCGCGCACATTTCTTCAAGAAAATGGAGTGCCGCAGGGAGGAGTATTAAGCTGCACACTATATATAGTAAAAATGAACTCTCTTCGCTCTGTTATTCCACCTGCGATATCGTACTCTGTATACGTGGACAACATTCAAATTAGTTTCAAATCGTGTAACTTGACTGTATGCGAACGCCAGATACAGTTAGGTGTTAACCGACTTGCAAAATGGGTTGACGAGAATGGTTTTAAGTTTAACACTGACAAGACTACTAGTGTGCTTTTCTCGAGACGACGAGGTGTGCATCCTGACCCCTGCATACTAATGAATGGACAAAACATAGTCATTGCGAAAGAACAAAAATTCCTCGATTTAATTTTTGATTCCAAACTCACCTTCATCCAGCACATAAAACAGCTGAAGTTAAAATGTCTCAAGACCATGAACCTTTTAAAGATTTTATCGCATCAGTCGTGGGGGACAGACAGGCACTGTCTCATATCTCTGTTTCGAAGCCTGGTTCTGTCACGCATAGACTATGGATGCATAGTATATCAGTCAGCTTCAAGGACAGCACTGAAAATGTTGGACCCTGTATACCACTTAGGTATCCGACTGGCACTTGGTGCCTTCCGTACCAGCCCTATTCACAGCCTTTATGCAGAGTCAGATCAGTGGCCACTAGACTATCAGCGCACGTATCTAGGAGTCAACTATGCAGTTAAGATCATGTCGCTGAAGCAGCACCCATGCAAAACACTTATGAACGATGTGTCTACTACCCAGTTATACCTAAAGCGTCCTTCTATCGCTCCGCCGTTTCCATTGGCAATAACACCTGCAGTAGAAAAACTTGCAATTTTTTTCAATGGCTTAGAGGGAAGTGACCATGTCGAACACATCCCTCCCTGGCAGCAGTGTCCAGTCACTTGTGACTGGTCTTTCAAAGACATCATAAAGGAAAATTGTCCAAGTGCACTCATTGAGCAACATTTCTTGGCCCTTAAACACGAATATCGTTCAACCGCGTTCTTCTCTGATGGCTCAAAGTCTCAAACATCTGTATCTTGTGCAGCCTATGGACAAAAGTTCTCGGACACCAGAACCATGCATACACATACCAGCATTTTCACAGCGGAAGCCTATGGTATCCTGCTTATTATACAACACATTAAACAACACAAGATACAAAAGTCTCTAGTGTACACAGATTCTTTAAGTGTTGTCAGGGCCCTGTCTTGTGGCAAGTACAGCAAGAACCCTACTTTCAACAAGCTCCTTAACGAAATCTATGCAGCCTACAACCTAAAACTTTCTATTGTTATTCGCTGGGTTCCAGGTCATTCTGGAATTGCAGGCAATGAAATAGTGGACAAGAATGCACGAGAAGCCGCTGGTTGGCAAACCATAGATATAACCTCTGTTCCGGGTGTAGATCTAAAACCTGTTGTACGTAGAGGTCTACGCAACCACTGGCAAGCTGAATGGGACAGAGAAGTCGACAACAAACTCCACCTTGTTAAACCCCAGCTGAGAAAAGCTATCCCACAAAAACTCAACAGGTTCGCCGAAGTCACTCTAACACGGCTCAAAATAGGCCACACTTATGCCACACATAAACACCTTTTGACAGGCACTGATCCACCTACATGTATACACTGTGGAGAGAGTCTAACCGTTGTGCATGTCCTTATACAATGTCCTGTGCTTCACCAAGCACGACTGACCCATTTCAGGGAGCTCTATCGATATCATATCCCACTTCATCCAGCGCTGTTTTTTTCACTTGATGCAGTGGTTGACCTTAAGAGACTTCTTCATTATCTTGGGAAAGTCAAATTTTTAACAATGATATCATTCCATCCTAGCCACCAGGCTGCGCCTCAAGTGTGAGGTACTGCCTGGTGCATAAAAAGTATGCAGTTCTTGCTCAGGCAAGGACTTCAGCTGCGAGTGTCTTGGGCCTTGCAGACTAATATATCATCACAGACTTCAGCCAATGAAATGAAGGTGTTTTTTTTTTCCAATGTGACATTCTTTTTAAATGCACTGTGTTTTAAATGGTTCGTAGATATTTGCTACACATCATTTGTTTTAATTTTTAAACTAATAACCAAAATGAAACAACACTTGTACTGGCGCTCTTTGGCCTTAGCTGCCCTTGCGCCAATAAAACTTAACGTAATAATAATAAGCTTGTACAAAGCCCTTCACAAACTCTCTTCTTTTGCACCATAGACAGTAACATACTGAATCGTGTTCAACAGCCGGAAACCTCTAAAGCTAAGCTTATAAAATATCGAATTTCATTATATACCAGGGCTTTTATTCTTCAGCCAAGTTGACCAGTGCTGATGTTTACAGTGTTGATGGGACATAGTAACAATGTAAAACTATTGAGGAGACTAGGATGAAAGAAAAGAACTCAACACAAGCACTAGTGGCACAATATTTTTTGTCTTCTGCGCATGTGTTGTGCTTTATTAATTATTCAGTGAAGAATCATTTTTGTAATATCTCTGTGCAAGCATGGGCTCTTGGGCAACATTTCAAAATAAGAACAACGTGAAAGCATCTTTCCAAATCTGTTGCTGATATTCACATGGTGTGCCTTTCATTTGTGCTCATGAATGCCACGCAGTAGCACGGTCATGAAAATGTGGAAGCCAATATGAGCATACAGTGGCAGTTGACTCTGACGCTGCTATGGCTAAATCCAGCCACACTTGGATCAACTCACACAATAGACAGACATGAGAAGATGTGTTGAAAATGGGCAGAAAACTTTGCATGGCCAAGGACAGAGCAATACTAACTGTGTGGCTAACACATTAGTGGTGTAATCGTTGACTCAAATTTTATGTAAACCTTCTGAAGAACGTTTATTTAAGCATTGTACGCCACAGAGCTTTACAGTAAGTTGTAATACCTGTACTATTAGAACATAGAAACTTCAGTTTAACAAAATGGTGTGCTTTCTGTTTTCCTTTTCTGTAACTTATTTGTTTTCTCAGTAGCTTGGTAGATCTTTTGCGTGGTATGTCAGCATATTGGAGAACGAAAACTTCAGTTGATTGTAGAAATAATAAAACCATGATTGTGACAGAGATCCTATGGCAGAACTACATGGAAGCACATAAAGTGTGCTTCTTGAATAACAAAATCGCTTCACTTGTCTTCGTTTGAGGTTTGAGTTCCCACTGATTCCCCCACCACACTTATTGTGGATTCATTGTTATCAAACCACCTTGCAGCTTGACAATTTCTAGCTCCCTCATCTTTGTCCCCAGTGTAGGGTAGCATACCGGTCGTTCCAGACTAGTTAACATCCCTACCATCTTTTTTTCCCTCCTGTTCCTTCCTTCCTTCCTTCCTAGCTCTTTGGCCATAATATGTCTGTATGTTTGCCCCGCCGCTGTGGTCTAGTGGCTAAGGTACTTGGCTGCTGACCCGCAGGTCGCGGGATCAAATTCCGGCTGAGGCGGCTGCATTTCCGATAGAGGCGGAAATGTTGTAGGCCCGTGTGCTCAGATTTGGGTGCACGTTAAAGAACCCCAGGTGGTCGAAATTTCCGGAGCCCTCCACTACGGCGTGTCTAATAATCATATGGTGGTTTCGGGACGTTCAACCCCACAAATCAATCAATATATTTGTCTGTTAGAAGTGAGCATTCTACTGGTTAGGACACAGAGCTTTATTTTGAGCAGAACAAGTGAGAACAGACAGATTTCTGGTCAGTACTGCAAACCAGTTAAACCACTAGCACATCGGGCATGTGCTGGAGGAATGCCCAAACTTGCAGTGAAAAACCCACCGCGGTGGTCTGATTATTATAATGCTCTACGCTGACCCAAACGTTGCGGGATCGAATCTTGTTCGTGGTGGCCATATTTCGATGGAGGCAAAATGCCGGAGATCCATGTATTTAGATTTCAGCTCACGTTAAAGAACCTGAGATGTTTGTAATTTCAGGAGCCTTCAAACAGGGTGTCTTTCATAATCATATTGTGGTTTTGGAAGGTAAAATCCTAATAATAATGATAATTATTATTAGTGCTCAAGGAAATAAATATTTTCAGCTAGTGACCTGTGATTAATTTGGATTTAGATGTTTGTGTCCAGGTTGCCAATATCAATCGTGATGCCATTGAAACTGGAGGTTTCTATCAAAATTTGGTGCATCACGTTTGTTGTAGTTTTTTTTTCTCACTGTATTTTTTTTCTTGTTGTTGAGGGGGATTAATATTCAAATATACCATAGGGGATTGATTTCAAGTGCCAAAAATTTGTGGTTGGGGGGACTTGCATTATGATAGAGCAAAATGGCTTGTTTGGTTGGCGCACTCAGAAGCTGTGTCATTTAAAAATGTACTGTTGGTGGGTGTTCTTTTTGTCACTTCTGCTACAGCTGACTTAAGAAATCAGTTGATAGTGGAAGAGTAGTATCAACAATGGTGACCAATTAAGAATATGACCCTTGAGTGAAGAGCTGTCTGGCAGTAAAGAGCTACTAAGTAGTATGATCAGGTGATATACCAGAGCATGACCATCTGCTCTAGAAGTTGTTATTAGAGTCAGCGTGTGGTGAAAGCTTCAATGTGTGTCATAGTGCATTCACAGAAGAAGCTTCTTGCTTGATTGTTTTTCATCTTCAGGACATGGTGTTCGAGGATGAAAGGGTTGTGAGCAAGTTCATGCGTGACTATCTGCAGGACCCTCTGCGGGATGCCCAGGAGCCGTATTTCACTGTGCCTGAGGTTTGTGCCATGCTTAGTAGAAAACCTTGATAAAGTTTGATGAGCCACCGATGATATGGTCAGCATTAGAATTTCGAAGGTGTTTATCTTGTTGAAAATTAATGAGGAATAATGTCTCAACAGCTGTGGAAACGTGAATTGTGCTTTTTTTCATTATTTTTAGTAGTTTTAACAAAGGAAATAAAAAGTAAACACTTGAAATGGAAGCTTTTTCTCTGGGGAGCATAGCAAAACTGTGCCAACTGAGTCGCAAGTGGAAGTCTTAAAGAATTACAACACTTGTTTATTTTTATTATTGCAGTTCCTAGACTATCTATTTTCTAAGCAGAATGAGTTGTGGGACAGCCAGCACAACAAAGTCAATCAAGACATGACGCGCCCACTGACCCACTACTGGGTGGCGTCTTCACACAACACGTAAGACATGTTCTCTTTGCACATTTGCTCTTTTAGGCTTGAGTTCATCCTTGTGGCTGCTCAATCACTCCTCCCAGGTACCTCACAGGAGACCAAGTGAAGAGCGAGTCTTCTGTCGAAGCTTATGCGAGGTGTCTTGCAATGAGTTGCCGCTGCATTGAGTGTGAGTAAAAAGCACTTACTACTTTTGCTGATTTTTCTGTATAAAAGGTTTTCCTTCATCTTCATTATGCTTTTTTCTAGTGTTATTCGCTCACAGCTCAAAGTGTGGTGCATATTACACATTTTAAGTTTGTACAGGGTTAAGAAGGACTTCAGGTTTGGTTCACCGTGTCTAGCATAGAAGGATGTCTGTTGGCTGGATTGACAGAGCTGATACACTTTGAACACAACACCTTCTTTGGCCTCTTTCTCCCATATTCTGTAATTTAATTCTGGCTTATAAGAAAGTAGTATTTTAAATTACGAGTCCGCAGTAGCATTCTGTATGACTTTACACTTGTGGAAAATGCCCTAGAGAGCAGTCTTTCTAATGTGAATTAAAAAGCATATCTTTTAGTAATGCCAACTTGGTGAAAAAGGAAAATTCAGAAAATTAGTTTCAAGGATGGATGATTGCAGCACCTCATTCTTGCTACATATATGGCTACTAAAATTCACTTTGGAGAACATATGGAGTCTTTTCTTACACTTCTGCATCATGTTGTGACAGCTTAGAAATTTTTTGTTTGTATCAATTTTTGATTCTTTAGAGCACTAGCCACCATCCTTTAGTAGCACTCGTCGGTGCTCTTCTCCAAATCCCTTGGTCTTTTGTGTGGCATGCGCAACGTCCAGCCCTGACTCAATGATTTTGTAGTTGCCGCTTTCTTGAAAGGACGCTGCAATACTTTTCCAAGTAATTGTCCGATGGCTTCATTAAAAAAAAAAAAAGCTGATCACCTCACGCACTAACTGCCGGAAAGATTTTTTGTAATATTTCAAATACAAGTAGACTTAAAGGTATTTGCCACATGCTTTTTTAGCGCTTTCTCCCTCTTTTCGTACCAGCAAATATTATGCTTAAAACTACTCATGGAAAAAGATGACAAGGTTGCTTCGCCAGGACACATCATGACCTTGAACACTTTTAATTTTTTCTGCAGACATCTGATTTCTTTCAGTGTGATCGCAAGCGCACGTGTGGGCTAGTGGTGGCATTTTGTGGTGGCCGTGATAACTATGCTGCTTACAATGCACAAATCAGCCAATGGCCGTTCACCTTGGGCATATTGCGCAGTAATTTGGGTGTCTGGAATTATTTGTAGAGAGAAAAAGGGGCGATTCATAACCGACTATGAGAATTGATTTTAAACTGCAGGCTGCAAAATGTTTGGCTCGCGTGTTCTCAGGAACCTAGGCTACTGAACGGCGGCATGTTCTGATCATGCTGAGGATGTGTTGCAAAGCCTTTTTAATGCATCAACCACGCACCTATTGTATGCTAAGCTAACATCTGCCTTCAGATTTGGTATGATTCCTCACGCCACGGCAGAAAAGGCAGCATTACACTTGATTGTGATCAAAATGGTCTCGCCGTTGTCCTCAAAAGCCAATGAACTTGCAAGGGCGCTTGTTGGAAGGCAATGAGAGTTCATATGATCAGACGTGGCAGTGACTTGATCATGATCTGTGCTGCTCCTTACTGGCTTTACCTCTTGTGTTCTTGAGGGGTAATGGCTTTCCAGTGTAGTTTCATAGCCAGAACTTCATGGGCAGTGAGTGGCGTACCAACTCTTTCGTGAGTAGGGGGGCAAACAACCTGCCTCACTCGTCAGGCGGGATATATATATATCAGCTTTTTGATGGCTGCATTTTCAATGGAGGGGAAAGTGCTGTAAGCCCGTGTGCTCAGATTTTGGTGCACATTAAAGAACCCGAGGTGGTCGAAATTTACGGAGCCTTCCACTACGGCATCTCCCATAATCATATGGTGGTTTTGCGACGTGATGCCCTACATATCAATCAATCAACTCACGATCATTCAGTCAGCATGCAAGTACGCTAACGACTACACCACAGCACGCTACAGAACCGTCCGAAATGAAACATGCTTATGTAGGCACCGATGAGTCGCTTGCACACGGCACGAACATTTTTGCAGTTACCCCAAAGAACGGGTGCTTTACTTCACAAGGAAAAAATTTCCCCTCCTTTCGATGCCGTGTGCATTTTTTTGCACTCATTTCGTTTTTTGGAGGAGCAAAAATTTCTTTTCGTGATAACTGCGCAGTTACTACAGAAAACTTTTTGGAGTGTATGTGCGCGTGAAAGAGAGAGAACTAAGCAGTACCGCGCGTGTGTGCTTCTTTTTCGTCTGGATTGTACTTTGAGCTGTAAAAGACAATTCAAGATGAATGAAAACAAACTAGCCCGACTCCGCATTAGACCTTCATGTGCAAAAAACCAAGGTCTTTCACTTTCTCCCTGGTCCGGTAGGTCAAGCTGCGGGGTAAGCTTAGAAGCTGAGCTAGCCATTGAACTCGAGTTCACTGCTTTATTCTTCGCCACTTTGCAAACATCTGCCATCGCTCCTAGTTACCGTGAGCGGGGCTGATCAGATTTATCAGAGGCAAAAGTGCCAATCTTCTTGTGGTGCTTCTAGTACGCCAGAACTAAAGGACTTAGAAAGATTCGTCACAATCACCAGCTCACAGCAGCTTCGATAAAGCTGTGGTGACGCTATTCATTTTTGATGAAAGGAAACAGTTTTTATGAATTTGCAATTGCTGTGACTAGTTCAGAAAAACTGGAAGGTAAGTTCAGAAAAACTGGAAAGTAAGTACAAGATGCTTTCGCACCTTGTACTGTAGCTTTGCAATGCTACAGTAGAAAACGCGAAAGAGTCGCATAGGTGGCCTGCACCGTAATGAACATTCAGACAATCGTCACGGTAGAAATTTAGGGAAAAAACAGGATTAGGATTAAAATTTAGGATTAAAACCTTACCTGGTAACATTTTCATTTCCTCGTAACAATATAATTGAGTGATTACTGTGGTGAAGGAAAACTTTGCATTTTTTATTGGTTTCTCCAGCGTGCAGCTGACAGTGAGCACAGTCAGAAGTGGGGGCAGCTAAGCCCCTCAACTTTTCTCAGTGGAGAAGCTCGCGCCCACTTTACCCCCCCCCCCCCCCCCCCCCGGCTGATACGCCTGTTTTTATGGGTTTGGTGAAAATGAAAAAGCTAAATGAGCCAACAAACAATAAAAAGCTAATATCACTTGTTGTATCACCTTGTCATTTGGAAACAACATTCAGGCTGATATTTTTCGCATTTTCACAATATTGGTTCTTTTTTAGTCTTTAGCATTCATCTCATAAAAATGGCAGCTATAAAAATCAGTTGCTTTTGAATTTTTACCTGGACATCCTGCAAGTGTGGGATTGTGGAAATCAACACAGAAGGCTTGGCAAAATGTGAGGACAGTCCAATATTACTGTGTCCTTGCTGGACCATCACACTTTGAGATGCCACAATGCATAACCTTAATGACAAATGCCTACGAGGGACCTAGTTGTGTTCTCCAAATGGCAATTCTAAAAAAATTGCTGGAGTACATAAACTTAAACTTGGTATGAAAGCGTTGGTTAAAGTGTTGCTTTCTGTAACACCATTTGTGGTATGTGACACTAATGTGGAGCATTCTAGCATAACTAGCTGTAATCACGGAGGAAACATCACAGAAGACAAAGAAGTCATGTTTGTGACGTAACTTTGTGACATTACAATGCCACTGAAATTAGTGCACAGAAGCTAGTTTTCCGCCCCACATGTATCTTCCGAATAAATGCGTAGTTTTGAATGTGTTTTGTAGTATTCAATTAGCATATCAATTCTATTAAATATTTTCTTAGTGGTCATTTTGGGAAGGTTATGTTTAAAAATAATTTGCAAGGTGAAGGGCTAAAGAGCAGCCATAGGTATCTGTCACTGTCGAATGATTTCTGGAGGCAAGTTCTCCTTATGTAAGTATTTTATGTCATGATGCGAAGTTTTCAAATTAGTCTTATTACAGCAGAGACTGCAACAAAAGAAAGCATTGTATAATAATTCTAACATTGTACTCTGATTGATTGGTATGTGGGGTTTAACGTCCCAAAACCACTATATGATTATGAGAGACGCCGTAGTGGAGGGCTCCGGAAATTTCGACCACCTGGGGTTCTTTAACGTGCACCCAAATCTGAGCACACGGGCCTACAACAATTCAGCCTCCATCGGAAATGCAGCCGCCGCAGCCGGGATTCGAACCCGCGCCCTGCGGGTCAGCAGCCGAGTACCTTAGCCACTAGACCACCGTGGCGGGGCTAACATTGTACTCTAAACATGCCAATTTTTCAAGTTCTTGTACAATATGTCTTTCCTAGTGGATTGCTGGGATGGACCGGATGGCATGCCCTATGTGTATCATGGCCACACATTGACAACGAAAATCAGGTTCATTGATGTCATCAAGACAATCAAAGACCACGCATTTGTTGCATCCGAGTAAGCGTAACTTGTTTTTTTTTTATTCAGTCAGTGCACTATGATTATTGCCACAGCTCAATGTACAATGTCGTCCTTTATGAAAGGGAGCACACGTGCGCGTGGCCTGCGCTCTGCGGTGGCTGCCTACAGGACCATCATCAACAAATAGCAAAAGAACAGACGTCGGTTTTTGGCATCATCTATTGGCAAACAAAAGAACAAATCATGGCTGGTGGGCAAGCGTTACAAGATACTGTAGGCAGCTGTCGTAGAGAGCAGGCCACACTCTCTCGTGTTCTCTTTCATAAAGGACAACACTGTACTTGTTCAGTTGAAGTTCCATGTGCGTGTTAATGTAGTATACATGTGCATATGTATGTGCACACTTGCAGGATATCTGAGCTAGCTTGTTCCAAGCCTCGAATAAATCAGGTTTTCTCTGAAAATGCAATAAAGTTGGTATTTTTTGTTCTTTTGAGCAGCTGATGGCTTCTTTTTTTTATAAGTGAATAATCAGCAATTTTGTATTGATGACTTATTACAAATAATAGAGCAGCTTGCTTAGCATATATTAGAACTTTATTAGATACACTTCTCAGAGTACTATGCAAAACATGTACATGATGTGGCAAAATACAACGTCTCGTGCGAATTAAAGCAGGGCTGATAGTAATAATAAAAGTATTTATTGTCAGAGAAAAGACAACTTAATCAAAGAGCTACTCTTGCACAAATCTTTTGTTGCATAAGAGTAGCTTTTTATTGTAAAGTTTTAGTGAAGCATTGACAAATGAGCAATTTTCCTAATTACCACTTCCTAAATTACCACAATAAATTTGCGTGTCTTTCTGCAGAGAGCAGCTGTAGTGTCATTGCATCTACTATAGCTAGCGTTGTTGTAAGCATGATCCAGTGCTGAATATGAGGGCAACTTCAAGTTAAGGACTGTATGTAGGAGGCATGTTTATGCATACGTACATGCATTTGTACTTGTTGTATCACAATATTTACAGTTGCTTCTAGAATACCATCTAATGAAACTCTTAATGCAAGTGTCCATTCAGTGTTTACATCAAGTGTTACATGAGGGATGACTTTTTTTTTTCTTATAGGTACCCAGTAATATTGTCTATAGAGAACCACTGCACCTTGCCACAACAAAGGAAAATGGCCAACCTGTTTCAGGAGGTTTTTGGAGGTAAGCAGAGCATTAATAAAGTGAAAGCCTTATATGTCTCATGCAAAGGTGGCCTTAAACAAAATCATGGTGTGAGCTCAAAACAGTACAGATTATGTCATGTTACTTCCCAAGTGTTGCCCAAAGTACACAAGTTGGATTCACTTCGCCTGTGCAGCATTCACTTACTAAAAAATTTTGAAGGATCTTTGACAGAAACATTGAATTTGAAGTGCATGTGCTGTTTTGTTTCCTTGCATACTGATTATTAGCGGCAAACATTGTCTTTAAGATAGTTTAATTTGGTGTTAAAGTAACTGTGACTGCTCATCTGAGTTGGCAGCACCTTGCGAGATGACCAGGCGTGTGCGAATAATGAATTTTAGGTTCGAAGTGAATTCGAAGCGAATAGTGATTTGGTTTGAATAATTTTGAATAAAGTTTGAATAGCATATATCATTTAATATTTAAAAAATTAGAATATTTGTCATAACCCAACTAACCTGCACAGTACATTAGACTCATTAAATGGAACCTGAAGAGACCAATAAAATGTTTTGTTTAACAGGAGTTCCATTTACTGTGAGATGAACAGGGGTGCTGAATGCAAGATCGAAACCAATCATGTCAGAAGCGCTTGTTCCATTTAAGCAGTAGTTCCACTTAACAGATTTTTATTTACTGAGAGTCCACTGTATTTTTCAAAATTGAAACAAGGCATGTGCAAACGTCGTTTTGTTCAAAGGAAGTGGAAGCAACTTAGAATAGTCGCAGGATTGGACTTTCCATAGAACGTAAGTGATAACCTGTAAAATTAGTTGCATTTTAAAATTGACTTTACTTGTAGCATATAAGCCAGTATAACAAACTTGAAAAAAGGGAAGAATCAATGCGAGGGTCAGATGTTTATTGAGCCTTGAAGGGGGCTTCGTAACAGTGCAGATTTTTTTCTTTGGAAAGGTGCATTCACGGTACAGCACTCTCACTGCAGCAAAACCATCATTACAGCAAGTTACATGCTGACTAATATGCAACTACTTGTTCATTTCGATTCGAAATGTTTTAGAATTCAAAGTTGAATCAAACCAAATTTGAATCTGTTAATATTCATTTGAATGTTTGCACAAGCCTAGACATTACCTCTAGTAAAACAAAGGTCGAGGAACCTGTGTGATGTTCCTTGAGTAAAGCGAGCATTGCCAACGTCATGGGCAAGTTTATGGGACGCAAAAATATCACGAAAAGTGTCCAACCAGGGCTATTGTTCTTCACCCCTTCGCTCTGTTGTCGGGCTGCTCCCGAGGTGATTCTGGCTGCCTACACCAATGGCTTTTTAAGCACCGTAGCTTTTCTGAGAAGGTACTTTGCTTGACAGGTGGGTGTCTCATGCAGTTTCCAGGAATATGTCTGGTGCTTCACATCCTGACTTATACCCTGACTTACCTGTGTGCACACATGTGTGCACTGTCTCTAAAAGTTTTACGATATAGCAACATGTTTTTTCTTTCTTCATCATCAATCCATGTGTAGGTTGTCTCAAACTTTTTTCTCGATTTCAGAGATGCTGTTGACTCAGCCAGTGGAAAGAGATGGTTCGAAAATGCCATCCCCTGAGCAGCTAAAGTGGAAAATTATTATCAAGGTAAAAATTTCATTAGTCTTAAAATAGTTTCAACGGTCAGGTGGCATGCAGTATTGTAGGCATAGAAATCTCACTTTTAACTTTTGTTCTTTTATGTAGCACAAGAAACTTCCAGAAGGAACAGAAGACAAAGTCATTGTAAACAGAAGTGATGAAGGTAGGGAACTGTTCATTGTATTTTCTTCTGAATTTGCTCGGTCTCCTGTATGACAAATGAATTCGTTTTTATTTCAATTGAACACATTGAAACAACTTGAACAGGTGGCCAGGAAACTGATGTCAGCAATGCTGTGAAAAATGGCATCCTTTATCTTGAAGATCCAGTTGATAAGGTGAGTCTGCGGTGACTTGCTTTTAAATTACCGCATACTGTATTGACTGACACTTAACATTCACTAAGCTGGTCATAAAAGCTCTGCACGTCTTTCTAAAATAAATGAGCTCATCTAAGCACCTGGGAATTGTGGGCATTTGTAAGGACGTGGTTTTAGGGATTATAAAAGCAGAATATCAAGATATATACTCTTCTTCAAATATTTTTTTAATCAGGCAGCATATGACGATACATGACACTGCCATAATTCTTTGTCTTAGTGAATTGAAGTTGTTTTAAACCTAATGTTAAAATAACTTAGGCCTGAGCTCTTGCATTGCAAGCTACATTTTATGCTATAATTCATGTATATATACAACATGCACACACACTCCTCAGGATCTATAACAAGTCAAATCACAAAAAAATTGTCACTTCTGCAGTCAAAAAACATTATTATGATGCAGTGAAACAGTTACGCCACTGTACAGGACGTAATGATAGTTACACTAACAATAAGGAATGTACAGTGTCATCCTTTATGAAAGAAAACACGGGAGTGCGTGGCCTGCGCTCTGCGGCGACTGCCTAGAGCACCATCAACTGACGGCTCAAGAAAGCGTGTCCGCTTTTGGCAACACCACCTCTTATCACAACAGAGCAGGAGCCGTGCTTGTCCAACGGCCATAATTCATTGTTTAGTTTGCCAGTAGATCACGCCGATAGCCAACATGCTTTCTTTGACGGCCGATTGACAAAGCTGTACGCAGCCGCCGCATAGCGCAGGTCACGTTCTTGCGTGTTCCTTTTCATAAAGGACGACAATGTATATGCATGTAAAAGGCAGTAAGTGCTAAAAAAAATACCCTTGTAGCTTGTGAGGATTGTTGTGGGTTTGTTTGCATATATACTTAATAGTGTCTAGTAATGTAAAATACCGAGTAATTGATGTATAAATCATTATTGAACAGAATAATAAAGGCTGCTGCAGCGCACGTATGGGCTGGCTTTTACTCTCAGCGATAAGAATAGCCAAGTTTAATTCTTAATACCACTTTGTGAATGATGAAACTACATTGAGATTAGGGGTGTGTGAATATTTGAAAATTCTGATTCACGAATTGAGTAGCGTATTGTTCGGTTTAGTACTTTAATCGAATAGTGCATATTTAATACATGATAGTAATACAGAACTTAGAAGCTATCTAGAACAGGGCATATCGTTTTATCACGCAAAATTATGACATCTTGTCTAGTGTAACGCAGCTAAAGCTCGAACTTTCAATCCGCCCATTAACAATACGTCATGACATTGCCCTTTTGTCTCTCTTTCATAAATATACTAAAGCCACTCGATCACCGTCCCTCTCACTTATCGCACAGACTGCACAATGACTTCAGCTACTCCTGTGTCAACGGCAACACTAATGCTTTTAACTGCTCATCCCTCCCACGTGCCGTACGACTGTGGAACAATCTTCCCAATACCATCATCCTTCAGCATAATCACAACATATTTTGCAAGCATCTCATCATTCATTTCTCTGATAAAACTTAGCTGGTCCATTTTCTGTCATGTTCTTTGCAACTCCATTTTCTTTTTTTTGCAATTTTATTTTATCAGTAAAGTTATACTGTTGTTTTTAGTTTTGTTGTACTAGAAATTATTTGACTAGAAAAACTAAATTATTTTACCAGAAATTATTAGACTAGAAAATAGATTTGGTTTGTACTAGAAATTATTTTACTTTACTTATCATTTTTGTTTTTTTATTTTATTCTACATTGTTCTTACTTCTTTGTACCAACATTGTTTTTGATTTCATTCTAAATTGTTCTTACTTCGTATTGACTCCCCCTTACACTATGCCTCTGTGAGCTCTATAATGTATTTGTAATAAATAAATAAATATTTATTAGAAATACCAAATATTTTTTAAATTTATGTCCTGATGAAAGAAACTTTAAGGGAGTAAAATGTAGGAAAAGAGAGGGTAACACTTCTTCTTTTAATCATCAAATTACCAAGATGCAGGCGGCCGAAGCTTTTATTTAACGGTTGAAGCTAAATAATCAATCAAAGGATGAAGGTGTTCTTGTTTAAAACTCTAGTGTTCCAAAAGCCATCAATCTGCCATCATCATCATCATGCCATTCATGATTATTTTGACTCATCAATATTGTTCATATCCACATATCAATTTTATTTAAATGCGGGTGATCAAGTGCCACATTGAATACTATAATCACTGTTCTATTTCACCCTGCAGTTACAAAATATTTTTAAGGCTCTAGTTGCTGCTCTATACGATCTTGCCTCAATTTACACGAGTGGGTATTATTTATCAATTAAAACTAATCATAAAGTTTTTTGTTAAAGCAAGTGAATATTTGTTTCAATTGAAATATTGTGAAATTATTGTGTGGTTTTGAAAATGATTACATTACCATTCTTGGGTTGCTTGGAAAATAGTTGCCTCAGTATTCGAAAACTGTTTGAATAGAATTTGGTTCATATTTTTCTACGATTTGTATTTGATTAGGATTTAAAATGATCTATTCATGCATGTATTACTAGTACATATTGTTGTGACTAAATGAGTTCGTGGGCATGAAAACAAGCAAAATTTCAGTTGGTGATTTTTATGGGGAGTCAGCTATATGACCTATAATATTTATTGCTATTGCATATATATAGTGTATGTGTATGTGAGATCTAACAGACACTAATGCCAAGGAAGGTGTGGGGGAAGTTATTAGACCTAATTGAACTGTAAATGTGAAGGAAGAAATGTGGGTGAAAAGATAACTTGCGTTGAGCAGGAACTTAATCTGCGCTATTTGAGGTCGATATATATATATATATATATATATATATATAATATATATATATATATATATATATATTATATATATATATATATATATATATATATATATATATATACATATATACGCACACATGCATTACACAGAAAGAGAGCCAGTACAAATTCGAACGGGCAATTTTAGCTTTTTTTGTGAAAAGTATGAGTTTTAGCTTGCCACCCCATCGACCTTCATTTACAATAAAGCTGTTCATATGGCTCGAACTTGGGTATGCACAGTCGACTTTTTATTTAATGCGTATAATCCCTAGTTTTGAAGAATTTTCAGTTTGGTAGAATTTTTTATTTTCCTAAAAATTTGTTTTGCCATCTATGTCCTAGTTTGTGATCATTAACTTACTAGCAGATTGGCCTGGCACATAATGAACCAGGGATCATATGCTCAAATAGCCGAATATTTTAAGCATTTGGCTACATCGCCAAAGTTTTAAACTATAAATAAACTTGAAATAAACTAGACTCATGATAATTCAAACTCTGATAATTCATACTTTTGGGTAATTCAAACAAAATTCAATGTTTTAGTTGGCCCGCTATTCTTTCAATGTATTTAAAAGCCTCTTAATTCAAACTCCATCGTTCAGTTAATTCATACTTTTTGTGGCTCCATACCAGAAAACATCTGCTACTTTCTCACTACTGTTTAAAAATTTACATGCATATATAATCCTAACAGTTTGAAAATGAAAAATAAGCACCTCAGGCCTTCGAGGAAAAAGGCTTTGCTAGTAAACAAATGTTTTAAATAAAGCACACACATGGTAAACCATGATGCTTTTCAACTGGTATAGAGGAAGGAATGAAGGAAGGGCCTGGCAACTGTGTGCACACACCCACGCTGGGGAATTGGCCAAGAACCGAGTAGTGCTGACAAAATACTGTTAATTTGTTAGCTCATGTTTTTTAAACTATTGAAAAAAGGGCAAAAATAAATGAGAAATGGACAATTAGAAATAACAGATATAGAAAGTGAAGCAGATGGTTTCACCAACAACAATAAATAAATGAATGAATAAAGTAATTTAGGAGTAATAATAGGTTCTACAGTCTGAATATTTTTGAAGCTTTAATAAACTCCTGCAAGGCATCGGAAACTTTCCCATCAGTGAACCCTAGGGACATAGCCCCCAAAGAAAGTACATTTGGAGTGTTTAACTCTAATCTTATGAGACAAAATATGGCATATAATGTCATTTTGCACAATGCAGCGTATTTTTTACAATATATCAGATAATGTTCTAATGTCTCAGGGATTCCACAAAATCAACAATTAGGAGGAGCAGCCAGACTAGCTCTGTGTAAATAAAAATTGAGATATGGAGTATGGCACCTCAGCCTTGTGATTGCGACTTCAACTGCGCACGTGTCGCATATTTTGCTGTTCCAACGATGATTTAGGCATTGAAATTTTAATGTGTTTATTATGAATGGCAAAGAAAATTCTAACATCATTATTCTTTAAATCTAGCCCTTATAACGAATTTATATGCTGGAAGTATGTGAATAACCGGGCCATTTAATGATGATTTAGCTAATGCATCTGCCATTTCATTGAGAAAAATTTCCTTATGCCCTGGTACCCAAACCAATTTAACCAACTGTAAATACAGCGGAACTAATGATTTGAAAGTACTCAGCACGTGGGAGTTCTCATTTGCTGAATACAGAGAGCTCTGTGCTGAAGGCACATACCTACAACATAGAAGCAGTTGGCAATTCATGATTTCTTCAAAAGGTCTGATCAGCAATAAATGGCTAATAAACTTGTGGACCTTACTCCTCTGCTTTCTATTCATTGCGTGCAATTAGGGTTTAAAAATATTCAAAAATATTTAAATGTAATAAACTCAATGCCTAATCATAATGTGTGGTGTCACCTCACCCAGTGTCATCTATCTGAGAACTTCTTGATAATTCAAATAAAATTCAAAGTTAAGAGGCTTAATGCAGTCTATCTGTCAGGTCACGAACCTCCAGTGGGATATTTTGTTACAAAATCACTAAGTGCGAACTTGCATCCACCATCCGTTATTCTTTGAACCGACATCAATGTGACATTATTTCTCATATCAGTGTTAAAATTTCTGATTTTAATATTGACATTAGAGTGAATCATTGGTACTAAAAGCTTAATTAATGGATGACCTTGCAGCATGCTTTAAACTATGTGATGATTTTCACAGTTTGATGTTTCTGCACTGCTTTTTGTTGTTATGGCTGTGGTCATATATGAATGCAATCACTTTGGTGTTTCAGGAGTGGCGAGCACATTTTTTCATGCTGACACAAAATCGAATGTTTTATGCGGAGGAACAGCAAATGCAGGATGACGAGGAGGATGGAGATGGTATGGAGCTGCAACAGCAGAGAGAGGTATGTTTTTAGGCATGTGTTTCTATGAAATGTAGTGCGAAATGCCCATGACATTTCATTCTGCAAAGCAGGGAAGACTATTGATGAAGCAGCTACTTAGCAGCATATTTATTTTGGATGGGCAGCATTGATTAACACAATAAACTTGCTTAGTGGTCATGACCACAATGTCTGAACCTAATATGGTGCCCATTAATGTCCTGCAAACTTCACAGACCTGCCTTCAACTATCTGCAATTCTTGCAGCATTTTGTGTAGGTTCCTGTAAAATTTTAAACAGCAAGGCAATCAGCATATCTTTTAGCTGTCATTGCAACACATACCTTTTCATTGTTGAGCTGTACCACAAACATACACAGAAGGAGGCCCAACCACTGTTTATGTATAGGTCATCCCACGCCAACTGTCCCAACCCTGGCGCTCGACCACCTCTGATTTACTTGGAAAAAATTCAGAACTATCTAGGTAAAGCTGAAAGTGTTTCCCCAAAGCATTTCTTGAGAAAAAAAAATTTTCTGTACCGCAAGCCTCATTTGAATTTTTTTGGAAAGCTCAAAACCATATCTCATAAAACACGTTGTCGAAAAATCTATTTTTCTTAAATTGGGTTAAGACCATTTTTTACTTTTTGAACAATGGTAGGCATTTTATTTAAAATAAGTTTTATTAGGCTTTACGCTTTTGTGGATTTCTTACATGGCCTCGAATATGGAGATTCTGGTCCGTATTGGTGATTTTTTCATAGAAAGACAACATTAAGGGAAATGTAATAGTTGACATTAGCATATTGCCAGAATCTTTTAGTGTAGTTATTTCAGGCGTATACAGTGCGAAATAAAGTTTACAGGTGGCGACAAAGTTGAAAAAATTTTCATTTTTGCGCATGGTCAGCAGTGAATTCAGCATTGAGGCGGTCTTACTAAAAATATGCTCAATAGCAGAATTGGTAGCAACCTTCATTGGCTACTCACTCAGAAAGATTTATCAAATATTTTTTTGTTTTAAGCGAGAAAAATATTTTTGAATTTGTGTGTCTCTCGGGGTTTGGACGTGTTTATCGCCGTAACAATGCATTTTAGCAGTAAGTACAAGCTGCACGGACATGGGGATCATCTTGACAACGATTTCAACTTTGTCTATGCTTACTTAAATTATTTACTAGCTAGTATTACGCATAATTAACAAGAAATGCGAGACCTACTAGGCAGCATTTAGCTACATGCAGCCATCTGGCAGCCTAGTATATATACACTTACGCAGCACCGGAAAGTGGTACCGATGTGTGCAACACACTGCTACCTATATACTAACATTTAGAAGTAGGAAGAGCATGATGAAGTAAAGGATCGATTGAACTGAAAAACAAAGAACAGTGCCTGCGCGGAACGCGCAGCACTGTCATAGCGAAAGCTAGAAGAGCGGCCTTTAAAAGCCTTTTCTAAACACCCTTCGGGATGCTGTAATCACACTGCTGGAGCCCACTACGCCATAAATAATCATAAATTTTATGTAGTAGGCTAGCATTCACTATACCATCCTTCGTAATTCTCTGGAGAAGCGTGGTATCCGCTACACACTTGTTGGAAATTTTGTGCTGTTTTTTATGCAGTGGCTGACGACGATGAAGAAATATGCCTGAAGTGGGGATGCGCGATAGATAATAGGTGACCAAGAACAAGTTTTCTTATGGGTTGGAGCATTGGATGACCCACTCGTTATGCCATTTGCATTGTGTGATGCCTGGCTGTTCCTTTGATATTCACATTGGTGTTTTTTATTTACCAAGTTTTTTTTTCGTTCGATACTCGTTATGGACACCGGTGGCAGCGGGGGCGGACAACTACAGCGTCGCTCCTGACCCATGCTCTGATCTCATAATAGCTTTCGCTGTAAAAAAAAAGGATGTGCTGCTTGGCAGCTAAGTTGCAGTTATGCACCAACATATGATCACTGGTGCCAAATGGTCAATTATGTACAATTATGGTGGTTCTAATAGCGACTTTTTTACTTTAGTTATATATAAACCATTTTCTTAATTATACTGCTCTTCATCATTCATACTGCCCTTCCTCATAAAATAAACTTGTTTTGCATCGCGGACAAGTCACAGTTATGACCAACATAATCGTATATAATTGACCCAGTTGCACCAGTGAAAATATGTTGGTGCATAACTGCAACTTAACTGCCAAGCAGCACATCCTTTTTTTTTTTTGGTTTCCACCTCGATTGATCCTTTTCTTCATCGTGCTCGTCCGTCCTATTTCTAAATGTTAGCAGATAGGTAGCGGTGTGTTACACACATCGGTACCACTTCCCGGTGTTGCGTAAGCATATACGGGGTCGGGTGTTCAAAGGTAAGCTTTATGATTTTTTTAATTAGGCATTCTAGGCATGTGAGAACCAACCACTTGTGCGAATAAGTTAAGTGGCCAGGGGGACAGAAAGTTAGATAATAATTATTGCTGTCAGCAGCGCAATTAACTAATATTTAATAATTAACTTTTTATTGGCTGTGGTAAGTTAGCATGTTTATATTGAAAAAACGCCAGGCCTGCTCGGAAGGCGCAGCACAGTCACAGCGAAAGCTAGAAGAGCGGCCTTTCAGAGCCTTTTCTAAACACTCATTGGGTAACTGCTGCAAGCACACTTGCTTGAGGCCCACTACGACATTAATAATAAAAAATTTTAGAGTAGTAGGCCGGCATTCACTATGCTGTTTTTCGCCATTCTTCTAAGAAGTGTAGTGTCCACTAAACTATTGCGAGGAATTTTGTGCCAATTGTTGATGCAGTGGCTGATGACGATGAGGAATTATGCCTGAAGTGGGTATGCACCACAGTTAATGGCTGAACAAAAACTAACTTTTGTAATGGGTTCGATCATTGGATGACCCACTCATTACTCTATTCGCATTGTGCAACGACTGCTTGTTCTTTCACTGTTTCAAAACTTATAAGTTGTATTGACGCGATTGCTTTCCTGACATCAAGCCTGCCTAAGGCAAGTTTGCGAAGAAGTCCCAAGCACCGGTGTAGCTCAGTGGTATAATACTGGGCTGGCACCCAACGGACCCGGGTTTGAGCCCCACTGTGTCATTGGTATTGTTTTTTTTTTCTAATTTCGTGTGATGTGGTTACGGACACTGGCAGCGGCGGCAGCGGTAGAGGACTACTATGGTGCTGCGCGAGACCCGAGTTGTGATCTCATAACCGCTTTCGCTGTAAGAACTTAGGCAGTGGTGTTTGTGCACGATTTCAGTTGGAAGATTTTTTTCTGGCATGCTTGTGCTCCGAGATATCCAGCTCCAAAGTTTAATTGTCTTTCGCATGATTACGCATGCAAGAGGCTGAGGGTCCGCTCAAAGCTCCTCCCTAAAGTGACGCATCTGTTGCGTGTGGTGTGTAGTGTGTGAAGAGGCTGGAAGCGTAAGCATACATGATAACAATTACCCTTGCCTTCTCGGCCGGCGAAATCAAAATGTGACCGCGCGGTGCGCCATGAGCCTTATGCATGATCCTGATGAATGAGATAACAGGAGACCATTTTTCGCAACATTTTTTTTTTTTTTCATGACTTTAGATCCCATGGACACATCTTCTTGTGAATGCGTTAGCTTGACCGTCCTGTACTGGGTGCCTGTGGTAGTACAGCATCTTTGAATTGAAGGTCTACCAAGGAAATCCACGTGGTGTCATTTCGAGCTAATATGGATGCTTCCGGCGTGAGGTATTCTACCAAAGAAAAAGTAGACGTGGTGCTTGCAATGGCTGAAATGAATGGCAACGCTTTGTTAGCAATGGAGCTTCATGAGTCTCGCCACACACCCCGTCCTCTTCCAACAAGGCCCACTTTCATAAACCTATTTCGAGGCTTCCAACCTTCCAAGACGGACAACAAAAGCAGTCGTCGATGAAGACTTTGAAGTCTACGTTGTCGCGTGCATAACCTCGATGTCAGATCTCAGCATCCGACAAATTGCCGATCAGTGTGGTCACAGGATGGGAACAGTCACAAATGTTCTAAGAAAGCACAAGTTCCATTCATGTCACATTTACCTTCATCAGGACCTAAATGAGGCAGACTTTGAAAGGCGAGTTGACTTGTGCGATTGGGGCCTCATCAAAACTGATTAAGAAAATGACTTTTTGCACAGGATAATTTGGACTGATGAAGCTGGGTTTTGCTGAAATGGAAGTGTTAATCTTCACAACGCCCATTATTGGGCACAAGAAAGCCCACACTGGCTGAGGCGGCACAAGCATCAAGTTCGCTGGAGTGTGAATGCGTGGTAGAGCACACTCTGGGACAGGATCATCGGACCTCACTTTTTTTTAGGACAATTTGAACGGAAAGATGTACACAGAAAAAATATTAGGTGTTGTCATTGATGACCTTAATTGATATGTGGGGTTTAACGTCCCAAAACCACCATATGATTATAGAGACGCCGTAGTGGAGGGCTCCGGAAATTTCGACCACCTGGGGTTCTTTAACGTGCACCCAAATCATCATTGATGACCTTGTCTACAGTCTTTCCCTGAAAAATTATTTTTTGTCTATAGTAAAACATTCTGGCAATATACTGATGTCAACTATTACATTTCCCCTAATGTAGTCTTTCTATGAAAAAATCCCCAATATGGACCAGATTCTCCATATTTGAGGCCACATTAGAAGTACGCGAAACCGTAAAAGCTCGTAAAACTTAAGTGAAATGCGTACCATTGTTTTAAAGGTAAAAATTTGTCTTGACTTAATTTAAGAAGAATGGATTTTTCGACGTGTTTTACAAGGTATGATTTCAAGCTTTCCGAAAAAATTCAAATGAGACTTGCAGTACTGCAAATTTTTTTTCACAAAAAATGTTTTGAGAAAACACTTTTGGCGATAGTTCTGAATTTTTTTCAAGTAAATCAGAGATAGTCAAGCGCCAAGGCTGGGACAGTTGGCGTGAAATGACCCATATTTTTTTGTGTGTGTGTTCATGTAATATGTGCACACATATATTTACTTACATTGAGTAAATAGTTTGGGAGAGGGGGGTGAACCCCCTCAAACTCCTCCTCCCCGCATACACCATTGACTGGTGCAAAAACTACGCTTTAAAATGAAGTACACTCTTTTCACCGTTCTTCATTTTTTTATGTAGTTTATGCACCAGTACCTCATCTCAGACAAAAAGTTTCATCAGGGATGTAACTGATATTGTAAACAGTTTGTCACTGGTGTCTTTAGCATGGGCAAGGTAAGGTGCACTTGGAAGCACATTTGTTTAGACTACTGATGGCCACTGGTTTAAGTTAGCTACCTTCCAGGCATGCATTGTGAAATAGAATGGATGCCGCTGTCGGTACATTCCTTTTTTTTTTTTTTTGTGAAGAGATTTCATCTGCTGCCAAAGAAGTTTCAAATTTCAAAGGTTGCAAGACTACAAAATGGAGGAGGTAGTGGCAGCTCTCTGTTTGGCTGGCACAGAAGCAAGCTGTCTTGATTGAGAAGGCTGTTGTGTAGTCGATTTCAACTCGCATTGCAACTCACTACTCCTCGCTCTACAAGTGTTGGGGTGGCCGTACTAGCAGTTCTAAAAAGTTCAAAACATCATTTATCATTGAGTACTGCTCTTTGGCTTTATATACCTTTAACATTTTGGTTCAGGGTGTGCCCAATGAGGAGCTGCACTTTGGGGAGAAGTGGTTCCATGGCAAGCTGGCAGGTGGCCGGCTCAAAGCCCAAGAATTGTTGCAGCAGCATGCTCACCTGGGGGATGGAACCTTCCTGGTGCGAGAGAGTGACACCTTTGTCGGCGACTACTCACTCTCTTTCTGGTCAGTCACTACCACTCTTTTTTATGCTCAGTTGGCTTGTGTTACTCCCATAGAAAAACAATGCAATGGTGAGACTAAGCTTCAAATTTTTTTTCTTCACTAAAACAAAAATGACTTCGATTAAACTTTCTGTGAACAAAGTTGCTATAATTCTCAATCGTATCCGCTTTTCTCGTGATTTTTTCTTGAACCGCCTTAGGATGCTACAGACGTCTCAGCTTAGACCAAAGCGGCGTTTTTGCAAAGTTCAGGATTATATATTAGAGCCTATGCGCCACACACTGGCAAAACAAAAATATTTGTAAATAGTAAATTTTATGGAGAGTTTGATAAAGGTAATTTATGCATTCTATTGATGGTTGTGTTTTGTAGAAAAGATTTTTAAAAATGCTACAATTTGCTCAGTTTTGTGCACAGTCTTAAGAGTGAGAATTTCGAAGCTATGTTGAGGAACTGTATTGTATTACAATACAAGCACGTTGCTCTGAAAACGCAAAAAGGAAGTAGGTATTGAAATAACACACGAAATGGTCAATTTATAAGAAATTTTCTTTTTGATACCTGGTTTTCCATCGTTTAGTGAATTTTAAATGGTGGTCGAGGGCACAAAAATTTCTTGCCGCTCAATATATCTTGAGAAAACACATTGGAATTTATGTATATATGTGTGTAATTTTCTCAAACTATTTGACAGAAATTGATTTTCGGTGAGCGCACAAATTAGGACAGTTGGCGTGGAATAACCGATTGTTAACATTCATGCTGTGTCATAAGCAGTTAAATATCTACTTTTGTGTTACAGGCTGTGTACATTAGTGGAAATTTATTTCTTAACTTTCAAATACTTAAGTACCTTTCGTCAACTGGTGCATGCGTTAGTAACGGCCCGGGCTGGCTTTGCTGCTATGTAATATCTAATTAACTTTTTTATTTTTTGCAGGCGCCAAGGCAAGGTGAATCACTGTAGAATAAAGTCCAAACAAGAGCGTGGTCAAACCAAGTACTATTTGATTGACACAGTGGCATTTGACACACTGTACAGCCTCATCAGCCACTACCAAACACACCCACTGCGCAGCCAGGAGTTCTACATGTACCTAAATGAGCCTGTACCCCAGCCCAACAAGCACGAGGGCAAAGAGTATGTTGCATCACATTTTTTTTTTTAATTTATTATGGTGGCCTGTACTAGGTTCAACCGAGACTGTAGGCATGAAAAAAAAAAAACAATTGAAGGGAATGCATTGTCACTGTGCAAGAGCTAGGTATCTGTGTTTGCAGTTGCCTTATAATCAAATATAATTAGTGCATTTTTGTACTCATGAGCTCATGCATAAGCACTGCCAAACCCTGTAAATTCCGGTACCTACTTTACAGAAATTCAGCCTGCTCTTAGTGCTTCACTTGTCACTTCCGTTTACTGCAATACAAAAATTAGAATTAGAAATATTTATTTTTCTTTGTTATTTTGATAGCGAGGGAGAAAAGCCTTGATATGCTGCTGGAACTTGTACTGTTTCAGCACACTAAAATTATTTGTCTCTTGGGCTTGAAATTCAAGAATACGTCCCAGGAAATTTCATGATGAGCACTGCATCAGTGTGTTTGTGCCTGCTTGATCATGCAGTGCTGGTAGTCAGGAATTGGAAAAAAATGTAGTTATAGTGTTCTTGTTTCTTTTTTTCATTGGAAATTATCGTGCCTACTTTTTTGCTTGTACTTTTCTTTCACACGAGCCTGTTCTACTTGCAGGTGGTACCATGCAAACATGACACGTACTCAGGCAGAGGAATTGTTGAAACGAGTAAAGTATGATGGTACATTTCTTGTGCGGCCAAGTGAGAAGGAAGACAACTGCTTTGCTATATCCTTTAGGTACAGTTCACAACTTTCTTTTCAACGGTGTAAAGTTCAGGTATCGAAGTTGCACAGCTTCAAAATTATTTATGTTGTGAACATAACATTCATCCTGTATCTTCATTAGCATCTGTTCATAATCCATAGGAGCCTCATCTTCATTTAGCACATGACTCAGCCAAATTTTTGATGCATTAGATTGATTGCAAGGCACAGAACATTTCTCTGGCCTTGATCTACACTCGGGTTAATGGCCAATCACCATGCAGCAAGACAATTTAAAAAAGAAAAAACTGTCGTACTGCACTTGATCTACTGCTGCAAAAGAACAAAGAGTAAAAGGGATACAAAACCTAATGCACTTTACATCTGTCAGTTCCAGTACATGTACTACATTTTCCAATATGCCTAACCTCTCTCTTTTCTTTCTTGTTATTTATTTATTTTATTTTATTCAATACTGTGGGCCTTTTTAGGCCTATACAGAAGAGGGCGTACAGAGCAAATAACACTTCATATCAAGAAAATGAAAAGAAAAAAGAAAAATAACGATATAACAGTATAAAGCAATAAACGAATAATGCACGTGTGTTTCACTAAAAAAAATGTACTTAGCATGATAACATCAATGGTAACATTGATATACAGATGCAGGCGGTTAAACACATGTAGCAATGTGCGAGCACATGCGCGATACACTGTTTCCAGCTTAATTTCGGCAAAAATAGCACAGGATTTATTGCAATGCCTCTAAATGAATTTCCAACAGCGATGAAAATGATTCAGGTGATTGTGCACTGACAACGTCGTATGGCAAGTCATTCCACATCTCTATAGCTGCGGGAAAAAAAGAATACTTCAACGTGTTACAACGTGACAGAAATGGGCGTATGCATTTGTCATTGTTAGTTCTACTGGAGTGACGGTGCGGAGCTTTAAGGTAATCATCCTTATTTAAATTTACCAGGTTGTTTGAAAGAAAAAAAAGAAATTTCAGGCTGGCTAATTGTCGTCGGCTAGCAAGAGTTGCGACACGTGTTTGCAAACGCAGCGCGGAAACACTCTCCCGCCTGGCATACTTTGAAAAAATAAACCTAAGAGCCCGGTTTTGAATCTTTTCCAATATATCAATCATGTTCTTTTGGGGCCGGTTCCAAACTATTGCTGGATATTCCAGGACGGGTCTAATGAGCGTCTTGTACGCTGTTAGTTTAACTTGAGGGGAAGTTCCGGTTAGTTTACGCCTTAAAAAACTTAGTTGTTTAAATGCACATGCAGAAATTTGATTAATGCGGACATCCCACTTTAACGATGATGTTATTGTGACCCCCAGGTGCTTTACGGTATTAACGTGCTTGATGTCTGCCCCAGAGAAGTTGTACTGAAGGTGAAACTGAAAGTGAAGTGGTGTCTTTCTATGGGAAATTGTAATGCACATGTAAGAGTGATGCAGGGAACAATTGTCAAAAGTTGATGTGATTTGCTTTTGCTGCTGATGACTTCATTTTATCAACTTTTTCAGAAACAGTAAGTGCAATGTGATATTTTCATTTTGCAGGGCAGAGAACAAGTTGAAGCATTGTCGTATCAAGCAAGAAGGCCGTCTTTTTGTCATCGGTACTGCCCAGTTTGAAAGCCTTGTTGAGCTTGTGAATTACTACGAGAAACACCCACTCTATCGCAAAGTAAAGCTCAAGTACCCTGTGAATGAAGACATTATTCGGAGAATAGGAACGGTATGACTGAGTTTTATCTTACTAAAAGACATAATGGTTTAATCACATTGCTTGCAAGCTGTAGCACTCCATGTTCAGTTTGCTAGCACTGCTATAGTGGACACCTGCAGGAACAATGTTGCAACAGTTGCTGGGGATACCGGAAAGGCCTAGAAAGAAGCTCAGAAGTTTTGAAAGTTTTGTGGTACTCCCAGCATTATGTAGAGCTTTTGCATTTGGTAATGTTAATCATGGCGGCATTCTGAACTAGATGTGCTTGTCTACCTGAAATGTTAAAAAATATCGGAACCCTTTCAAGGGCCCTTAAGTGTCTCTCCTTTTCACAGAAAGTAGCAACAAAATTGACAAATTATGATGTCGGGAAACATTTTGTCCATTTCAGTTTATCTGGCTATGTGCTTTGCTGAGCGAACAACCTTGTTTATGTTTGCACAGCTCCACAATTATTTGCGATGTGGGCATGCTTTCCTGTTCCCTTGTCTTAGATTAACCAGTGATGTCTTCACTTGTGGAGGCCTCTTTCCCAGCTCTCTGTAGACAGTATTGCAGGTTGAGCTTGTGTGTACCTTATGCCCCAGTCTATTATAACTAATGATTGTTTAATCTAATTTTTTATTTATTATTTGAATACTTAAAAATGGTGACATGCAATTATTTTTTGTTCCAGGACACTGATGATAGCCCACTGCATGTAGGAGGCCCTGCAGGAACCTACATGGATCCAGACAGCTTTTCTGGAGCATTTCGTGCTACAGTGAAGGCACTGTATGACTATAGGGCACAGCGCGAAGATGAGCTCTCATTCTGCAAGCACGCTATCATCACTAATGTAGTACGTCTGGAAGGAGGATGGTGGCGTGGCAATTATGGTGGAAAACGACAGCACTGGTTTCCTGCAAACTTTGTGGAGGTGCTTGAAACACAGGATGCATCTGATGATGGGGTGAGCTTGGGTGCCCTAATACACTAACATTAAATTTGCCGTGTGTTTGCAGCTGCTATAAAGTCATTACTACCCGTAATGATTAATAGAGAACCATATCAAATCACAATGCAAGAAAAGTGAGACAACACATGAGCCTATCGCTCTGTCTTGTTCATCCGTGTTTTTTTTCTGTACTATGTCAAACCGACAATCTCAAGAAGCCACAGTTGTAGATCTTTATACATTTGTGGTAAAATAAACATTCAGGAGTATTCTGGATGTTTTGCTCACTTTGTCCTCATCACAGTCTATAATGTTCTTTCATTCTTTCTCTCTTTCTTTTTCGTCTTAGTCTGGAGATGCAATGCCTTTAGGTACATTGCAGAAGGGCAGCATTGACATTGCTGGGTGTACAGTAGGTGAGTGCCTTGAATTTGGTACTGCTGTGAGTGTGGGGTTGTGTCAGTACAGCTAATATGCAATATACTACTGCAACGTGCAGCTTTAGCACCCTGCAGGTGATTTCTACATGCTTATGAAGAACTCAGCACAAATCTTTCTATGTTCAGCCTATTCTAAATACTTATTATGAACTGTAATATCCTGTGAAAAAAAAGCCATTTGCATGATAGAAATGTTTTAGTTAAATTGATTGAGGGATTGTACTTCAGCTGATTGTGCCAGTTCTACCACTTCATTTTATTCATCATTCTTAGCCCTGTTTTAGTCCACTGCAAGATGAAGGCTCTCCCAGTGATCTCCAGTTTACCTTGTCCTGTGTGAGCTGATTCCATTTTATGCTGCAAACTTCTTAATTTCGTCACATCCATTTAACTCTCTGCCTTTCCCGACTGTGTTTCCCATCTCTTGGTAACGATTGTGTTGCTCTTACTGTCCACTGGTTGTATTTTCTATGCATTACATTGCCAGCCCAGGTTCTTTTTTTTTTTTTTGCTTGATGTCAACTTGGATATCTTCAACTCCTGTCTGCTCTCTCATCCATGCAGCCGTCCTTCTAACTTGTAATGTTATCTCGTCATTTTACCTTCCATTGCACAATGCGTGTGCCTCAGTTTTTGCTCTAGTTGTTTTATTATTCTCCCATGTTTCAACCCCATATGTTAGAATTGGAAGTGTGCAGTGGCTGACAATATTTGGGAGTGCCTGCCAAATGTGCTCCTGCTCATTTGAATTCTTCAGTGAATTTCTTTTTGGTGCTTAAGTTCTCATGTGAGTAATTATCTTGGGTATACATATTCTTGTATACGCTCCAGTGTATGGTTTTCGATCTTAAATTCTTGTTGTTTCACCTTACGATTTAACATTATTTTTGTCTTTATTATACACAGTCGAATTCCTCAATAGCTTTTTGCAATTCATTGCTATTGTTACTGAAAAGTACTATTTCATCTGCAAATCCTAAGTTGTAAAGCCATTCTCCATTAACCTTAATTCCTGTTTCTTCCCAGTCTGAATGCTTAAACACTTCTTCCAAGCACACAGTGAACAACATTGGGCACATCATATCTTCTCGTCTGAATCCTTTATTGATCACAATTTTATCGCTTTTGTTTTTAAAAAAATCAAAGTAACTGTGGATTCATTGTGGATGTCAGCCAGGGCTGGGCAGTATCCCAATACAAGAGTATCACAATGTATTTCAGAAATACTTTTGAGTATCTATATTGCTGTATCGAGATACTTTTCAAAAATGTATTTTTATCTCAGTAGTGAAATACTTTTATGATGTATCGCCCATATCGGGATATTATCCAGGACACAGGTATCTCGTTTCTTTTTTTTTTTTTTTTTTCCGGAAATGAGCTGAGACATGTTTACGATAGGGGAAAAACTTTTTTTTTTTTTTTGCTGTGATTTTGGCAGTCCGCGGCACCCACCATTTTTATATTTCTACTGAGCTAGTCGCTTTGCTACCTGCATCCCATTGTGCACCTTTTGGCAGAACTGGTATGTGTTTGAATGATGCCCTGCTTGAGCTTGCCAACAATGTTATACTGTCATTTTGAATTCCAGCAGTGATATTTTCGTTGTGAGGAGCTTCGTATACTGCACAATGAACGCCAACCAACGGCGTCGTTTGTAAAATGTGTTCCTTTCAAGCCAATTGAACAAGCAGTGTTTTTTTTTTTTTTTTTCGTTGGCTGTTTGAAATACCGGAGCTTATTCTGGAAGCCATCACCCAAATAATTTGGTGTGTGATGCCGTGTGCCCTCAATGATACTTCTTTCTCCAAAGCATTTCTGGAAGATGTCAGTGTGGCCACTTGGCATTGGGAAAGAGGTCTTTTTACGTTTCCTTTCGCATTTCTTGTTTTGTTCATTCTTCTTTCTGCTTTTTCTATATTTCTAGCAAACTGCAGATCTTTCTACTTAGTCAAATGCCTTTCCATAGTCTAGGAAGGCTAATAAGGGGGTAGGTTGTATTCAGTAGCTTTCTCCATCACTTCATTTATCACATGACTGTGATTCATTGTAGAGCAGCCTTTCCTGAACAGGGATTGTTCTTTCGGTGGTAGGTATTTCTTTTATCCTGTTTGATGTAAATATTTTGTATGTCATCAAATTAAGCTGATAGGCCTATAGGTAACTCCTTAATGTATTCTTTCTTATGTATTAGTAAAATGTTTACATTTTTCCAGCTCACCTGAGCCGTTGCCATATTGAGGCACTGAGTATAAAGGGTAGCATTTCTTCCAAATGAATTCTCCTCCATCTTTAATTACATTGGCTGTTATTCCATCATTTCCAGCTGTTTTTCCACGTGGCATATCGCATATGGTCTTCTTAATTTAGTCAGTAGTTACAAATGGAACTACTTCCGTATGTTTCTTGTCACTACTGCCACTCGAGGTTGGATGGCTTATTTTCCAACTGTATAGTTCAGTGTAGAATTCCTCTGCCATCCAAACTATATCACTTAAGTTGTTGATCTACTGTTCGTGCTTGTTATTGAGAGTATGCATTTTATTTATTTTTGTAGAGAGTCTCTTTTTCATTGTTTTCATGGTGGTGCCTTCTGTGACTGCTGCTTCTATAGCTTTGACATTACTGTTCCTTCTGTCAAGGGCTTCTCTCTTTTTGGTCAGCTTTGCAACTTTGTTATTAATATTTTTATAGTTTATGAACCTCACCAAGAGTTGTGAGTCAGTGTGAAAATAGTTTTGGATCCTCTTGGCTCGCTACAAGCATTTCTGATTGCAATTTGAATGTCTTTCTTTCGGCAAAAAAAAAAAACAAAGGTATAATTGGAGAGAAGCAGTGCGAAAGATGAAAGACCAAGCAGAGAAGGACACATATAGCACATAGATTCTCTGCCTGGTCTTTGGTTTTTTCCACTGTTTCCCTCCACTATGTCATACCAACATGCCCAAAAAACCAGTTTTTAATAAGGTTGTAAGAGATCAACGAGCTTTTCACCCTGTTTGGGCATCACAAGCAAACAAGCACTATGCTTAGATTCCTTGGTGGTCTTTTTTGGCAGGGAAATAGTTTCTTGTAACTCCTCCAGTAATGAGTTTATCTGTAAAATTATTTGGCTGAAACCCACCCTACATAACACCTTACAACTTCCAGGGCATAACCAGAATTTGTATTAAAGCCTGAAGAACAGGGCCCTTTAAACAAGTGCTTGTATTGCTTTTCATTTGTGTGAAATATAATCCTTATTTAACTTTGTATTTTTTATTGTGCTCATGCTTTATACAGATATTCTACAGAGTTGGCCTGGTAGGGGACGTGAATGGGTGTTTCGCATAGTGTCACCAACCCAACTAATGCCCATTGAGATTGCTGCTCCCTCAAGGGAGGAGATGCAAGATTGGGTGCTCAAGATTCGAGAAACTGCCCAGTCTGCAAATGACATGGTGAGTATTATCAAGCACGGAATGATTTTTTGTTGCTCTCATGTATGTAGTAAGTGCTACATGGCCTGCTTGGTTTACATTATTATTATTATTATTATTATTATTATTATTATTATTATTATTATTATTATTATTATTATTATTATTATTATTAGAGTCAAGAAAATGAAACGCTAGGTCTCTGGAAGGTTTGTCTTTCCAAGGCCGCAATAGACGGTTAAAGCACTTGATTGAGTTGCATAGTGCACTTGGATAGAAACAGTACTCTTGTGTATTCTTTATCGTATAGATCCAACAAAGGCGAGAAATGGAGCGAAGCTTGAGGCTTGCTAAGGAATTATCCAATCTCATCATCTATTGCAGATCTGTGCAGTTCTGTCCTGAAAGTAAGTAAGACAGATTTGTTAGTGATGTGTTTTTCTTTATACTCTTGGTGACATGTTTGAGTATTCATTTCGCTTTTTTCCTCAACTAGGGATTGGAAACTTCACAGAAATGTCATCATTTCCGGAAACAAAAGTTGAGAAATGGATGAGTCCTCAGCACTGCTCTTTCTTCCTCAAATATCCTTCAAAGCTTTAAAGTAAAAAAAAAATCAAATCAATCTTTATTTCTAACATGTTTTTTTTTTTTTCCAATTGAGGGTTACTCAGGCGAAAATCAGTTTAAAAATCATTTGAGAATGTCTGAGGGCCCACGTACATGGCTGTAGTTGGGGAATTCAAGATTTTTACAAATATAGTGCATTTAGAGCAGGAGAAATGAACAAAAAAAAGAATATCATGCAAATAGAGCTGTAGAAAAAACAGGCATAGAGCAAACTAAATAACTATATCTGCACTCATGAACAATACTCATGAACGTGATACAAAGTGTAAATACGTCACCACAATGATGTCATTCTGCTGGCGTATTAGTATACATAATAAAACACTACAAAGAACACTATGCAAGGGTGACAAAAAATTCATGCATTTCTCTTTTTGAAAGCACAAGAAAGTTACGGTCACTACTTCCATATTTATTAAGTAGGGAGGGTAATGTGTATCTAAGGGAGTGTAGGAAATAGTTTGTGCGAAAACTAGAAACGAGCCATTGGTCTGCACTTCGGATTCGTGAATCCGTGTGTTCTATACTTATGTCTGACAAATCCTTAATAAATGTTTAAAATTGTTTCTTTGTAAAGAAGTAGTTATAAATTAGTCTAAAGTTGTACAGATGTTTCATACTGATTGTTTTATGGCGGTGGAACTTGGAGCCTGCAGACATACTGCATGGGACATTTGAAATATAGCGTAATGCTTTTTTTTTTTTGCAATGAATGAATTTTTTTTATGTTGCCCAAGGTTATGGTGCCCCAGACTAGTAGGCAGTAATTTATGTGCGAGGAGAACAGAGCATGGTATATCTTTACCTTAACTTTATTGGAAGAAAATGCGGACATCGTGACAAAACACCAGCAGCACGCGATGAATTAGTCAATGTTTCGACATGATATTGACACGTGTGACTCTGGTTTAAGGGCTAAAATGACACCCAAAAGAAGGAAGACGACACCATTGTTGTTGTGGGTTGAACGCTCGAGCTGCCCGCTTAGTCTGCAATACGGTGCGCTCTGCGCAGCTTTAGCTGTCAACGAGTAGATCTTCCCCGTAACATCTTTTGGTGGGAGGTGTGGGCTATTCAAACAACCCGGCTCAGGAACTCCATTGTGGATGCCGCCTTTGTCCAGCCGCAATGCCTGAAACCGGCACCCAGGCCTCACCGTTCGCGCCAGCTCTGTCACCTGTGATTTTTCCCCATCTTATCGAGCCTGGAATGTTTTGCGGCTCTGACAACAGGGACGTTGATTAATTGCTTCTTTTATTTGAGCACGTCAGCAAACACTACAGGTGGGACAAGACGCTTATGCTGGCAAATATTCTTTTCTACCCATGGAGAACAGCATGCGTTTGGTATGGGATGCATGAGGAAGAAATAACCAGCTGGGACGTATGCAAGCAGAAACTTTGCAACGCTTTCGGACGGTCAGTTGCATGTCAGATGACAGCCAAGCATGAACTTTCATCGCGTGTTCGATCATCCACGGAGTCGTACATCACATACATCTAAGACGTGCTGGCATTGTGCCACAAGGCTGACAAAGACATGATGGAGGTAGACAAGGTCAGCATTGTCCTGAATGATATCGCTGATGATGCTTTCAATATACTGATGTGCAAGAACTGCACCACTGTCAACTCCATCATGTCCAAATGCCGACGATTTGAACTGGCTGAAAGCAGGTGAATAACCCACTGCTTCACGCGACTTCCGAACAGCACTGCGACTTTGTCCTGCGAAGATCCTGTAACACCCTATTCACTTGCACCTTCTGCCAATTTCGCCAGGATTCTTCACCAGAAGCTGGAGGCCATGGCACCCGCTCGCTACCTATCAGCCTCCTGTGCAAGACAACTGGGCTACAATCTCACTCATTGAAGTCATCGTGTGTCAGGAGTTTGCCAAGCTGGACGTCCAGGTTCCCCAGACCAGCAGCCACACGCCTCAGTCTATGTGAGCTCCCGTCCATAATGCTGACCACCACGCCGCTCCACTTATCGTTGCTGCAGCTGCAGCTCCTCGGTTTCCACAACACTATCGAAATCCTTCTGAGTGGCGCATGCAAGACGATCGACCTATCTGCTTCTCTTGATCTTGTGTTGGGCACATCTCCCGTCATTGTCGGAACAGATGGCCTTTGCGGTGAAGCTTTCTAAATGACCGCCGTCGAGATCATGGACAGTATTCGCAACCCACTTTCCCGAAAGACCACCATCAAGACCCTTCGCCTCGCTGTTTATTTCCACGCTTCAAACCATCCTACGCTGACGTCGTCGCTTAGAGAAATTGGCCTAGCCGCTTGCCGTCACCTCAGGGTCGCCCATCATGCTCCTCTCAGTGCAATCGCTCTCCGTCACAGGCTTATTCTCGTCATCCCCCGAAAAACTGACAACTGCAGCTCCTGGAGACAGCACTGCGTTGACAACTCGGATGGCAAACTCTCAACTGACTACAAATTTAAGATGCAATTTACTTCAGGTGCTCCTTGATGGCTTTGTCGTTACTGCTCGAATTGACGCTGGTGCTCAAGTATCTGTTATGAGTTCTACGCTTTGATCTCGCCTAAAGAAAGTTGGCACATCTGCTATGTTCTCTACTGCAAGTGGCCAACAGAAGCCGAACATCAGTGCTTGGCATGTGCACTGCTCGTATTACTGTTGCCGGCCACGACACTTTCGTCCTCTTCACAGTCCTCGATGCGTGTCCGTACGTTCTTATCCTTGGAATTGATTTTCGAACCGCTCACTCCACTCTCATAGATTATTCCATCGGCACCTTATGGCTCGAATTTCCGTTGTGCTCTGATTTCTCTACTGCAAGTCACACTCAGCTATGATCTGTGGAGTCTCTACGGTTACCGCCCCAGGCTGCCATGTACGTTCCTAGGTCGCCCGTACTGTCCGTTCCTGATGGAGACTATCTCATGGCTCCTCTCATTGACTTGACCCTTACGCACGACATCGCACTTCCACATACCATAGTGGTTGTTGTTAACAACACGACGCTACTTCCTGTTCTCAACTTTACATCAACCCAAGTTCTTCCCCAAGACATCACTTTAATCAAACTTTCCAACCCTGGAAAAATGTACGATTTCTTCTTTCACCCCTGACACCAAGAGCGTGGCGAAATCTGCTGTCACCCCTCAAAATAAGGCATTTCTAGACAAAATGATATCTGGCGACCTGTCACCTTCTCAAGTTAAAGCGCTCTATGGTGTTCTATTTTCCTACCTGGATATCTTGGACATTGACGACTGTCCCCTGGGCCACACAAGCGTCGTTGCGCACCGTATCAACACCATTGACGCCAGTCCACTTCACAGACACCCTTGCCGCGCTTCTCATGTTGAGCGCCAAGTTATGAAGAAGGAGGTCGAGAAGATGCTCAGAAAAACGTCATGGAGCCTTCATCCAGTCCTTGGACATCCCCTGTAGTTTTAGTTAAAAAAAAGTATAACAGCTGGCACTTTTTTGTCGACTATCGCCACCTGAATTGGATCACCAAGAAAGATGTCTATCCTCTACCTAGAATCGATAACACACTCGACTGCCTCCACGATGCCAAGTATTTCTCATCCATTGACCTTCGATCCAGATATTGGCAAATTTTGGTCGACGACCGCGATAAGACCGCATTCATCACACCCGACGGCCTTTACCAATTTAATGTCATGTCTTTTGGGTTGTGCAATGCTCCGGCCATAGAGTTTTCTAAATATACACTGGAGGGAGCTATGGCACTAGTGTCTATGGGAACTTCAACACCTGCAACGCACGCTACTTCAGCGCGCATGGGAATGAGGGGTAGTACACGTATTTGTCTAATTGTCATACTTCTGGCTTTGTGTGTATTCGTGTGGCTTGAAGCTGTTTTCTGAAGAAACTAAAACCAGCAAATGTTCAGTGGTTGCGCTTCATCACCTTATTTTTTAGGCTTACCATTTCAAATGGAGTGACCAAGTTCAAAAGGGTTCATTGTTTCCTTATAAACAAAACCAAAACAGTTTACAATAAATGAGGCCACAAGTGTGATTCGTCGTCCGCAAGTACGAAGACTAGGCAAATCCGTGTACTACCGATCATTTTCATGGTCACTGAGCGATTGCAGCGCCAGAGTTCCCTCCAGTTAATTTTAGGAAACTCGATGGCTCCGGCTACCTTTGAACATATGACGGACTCTCTCCTCCACAGTTTCAAATGGCCAACCTGCTTGTGCTATCTGGCCGATCTCATCATTTTCTCGCCCACCTTTGAAAGCCACCTGCCTTGTCTCTTAGCCATTCTTGACGTTCTTTGTTGTGCTGACATCCAACTCAATTCCTCGAAGTGCGCATTTGGACGCTGGCAGATTAAACTACTCGGCCAGCTTGTTGACGCCACTAGTGTCCGACCTGACTCTGACAAAGTCCGCGCTGTCCGCGAATTCCCGGTTCGGTGTTCCACACAAGAAGTTTGCAGCTTTAGTTGGCTCTGCTCATACTTAGGCCGCTTTGTCATCAACTTCGCAGACATTTCTCGGCCTCTCATAAATCTTCTCAAAAAGAATGTGGCTTTTTTCTGAAGTGAGGACCAAGAAAATTCCTTCGCGTTGCTGATTGCCGCCCTCACATCACCACCTGTGTTGGCTCATTTGGGTCCAGCTGCTCAGACAGAGCTTTGCACCGACGCAAGTGGCCATGGCATTGGTGCAATACTCACTTAGGTACAGAATGGTGCAAACCGTGTGATAGCCTATGCTAGTCGTCCTCTGTCGCAGATGGAAAAAAATTATTTCATCACTGAGCGGGAATGCTTACCCCTTGTCTGGATCATCGCGAAATTCTTTCCATACTTACACGAAGTTCGCAGTCATCACAGACCATCATGCGCTTTGCTGGCTGTCAACACGTAAGGACTCTACAGGAAGACTCAGCCGTTGGGCACTACGATTACAAGAGTACACATTCTCAGTTGCGTACAAGTCTAGCAAGCTGCACAGTGAGGCTGACTGCTTGTCCCGACACTCCGTTGATCCACCGCGCTCCATCGACTTGGAATCAGATGCCTACATCTTGGCCATCACTGACTTTCTGCACGTCGAGATCAATCGCTGTTCTCCTTCATTGACCGCCTCCAATCAGGCAATACTGACTCTTCCCTTGGCAGGTTCCTGCTTCAAGACATTTTGTACCGCTGCTACTTAGAACCCGATGGCACGGAACTTTTACTCGTCGTACAACATCACCCGCACAAGGATCTTCAACTATTTCACGATCCTCCAACTTCTGGATATTTAGGTGTCTCCAAAACCTACGACCATGTTCGACGACAGGTATTCTGGAAATGTCTTTATCGCTCCGTTCGCCATTACACTGCAGCTTGCAACCTCTGCCAGTGCCGAAAGAAGCCTACAACTCCCCCTGCCGGTCTCCTTCAGCCTATAGAAGTGCCGGCCAAGCCGTTTTATTGAGTGGGATTGGACTTGCTAGGTCCCTTTCCTACTTCGACCAATGGAAACAAATAAGTTGTCGTAGCCACCGAATATGCCACTTGGTATGCAATCACTCGAGCGCTACCAACCAGCTGCGCCACTGACATTACCGACTTCCTGCTCTATGACATCATTCCCTAGCATGGTGCTCATGTGCTCCATCTCACCTGCTAACAGATTGTGGTCGCTGCTTTCTGTCTCGTGTGGTTGATGATCTACTTCAATGCTGTGCTACCCGTCACAACTTTACCACGTCTTACCACCCCAGATTAACGACCTTACTGAGCGCCTCAACCGCACACTGACCGACATGCTTTTTGTGTACGTATCTAGCGACCACGCTGATTGGGACATAGCTCTCCAGGTTGTCAGCTTCGCCTACAACTTGTCACGTCATGAAACAGCCGGCTACTCACTGTTTTATCTAACCTTTAGCCGTCATCTCTTACTACCCTTCGACACACTGCTTTCATCTGACCAATCATTCTCCACTTCATACTCTCATGATGCTGTCACCCGTGCTTTCATGGCACGCACAGTAACCCGCGCTCGGTTATCGTTCTCACAGAGAGCACAAAAGTCTCTTTACAATCGTCGATATAAGAATGCAGATTTTTCCTTTTTTTTTCTGCAAGCTCTATTGTTTTACTGTGGCTTCCATCTCGACGTGTTGGCCTCTGCGAGAAATTATCGCTCTACATTGGGCCCTACCGAGTCCTTCGTCAGGTCACACTTGTGAGATTTCCGTGACAACAAACTCATCGGCTGCTACATCCAGAATTTAAGTTGTCCACATTTCTCATCTTAAGCCCTACAATAGTGACTGGCCGATTTAACAGGCACCGAGACAGTGCCTTATCGGCCATGGTAATGACATGTGTATGAAAGTGTGACTCTAACACAAGGGCTAAAATGACACCCAAAAGAAGGAAGACGACAATGTTGTTGTTGTGGGTTGAACACTCGAGCTGCCCGCTTGGTCTGCAATATTGTGCGCTCTGCGCAGCATTAGCTAGCAACGAGGAAATCTTCCCCGTAAAAATATGACCATATCATATGAGCATGAAAAGTCACGCCTAGAACTTTATGTTTCTCTGCGATTTCTGCGGGTATTTCATCAAGCGTTAATGATTGGTGAGGATCAATTTTCGTACCTCTAGATCTGATAAAGGCAGCTTTTTTTGTTTGTTTTTCGCATTTATTTGCAGGCCATTAGCAGTATACCACCGCAGCACATCTGAAAGTACGCTTTGGGCTCTGTTAATAAATTTCAGATGAACTTTCAGATGAACAGTATAAATGCAGCGTCATCGTTTTTGTGGACAATATCATTTATGTAGATATTGAAAAGCATCGGCCCTAAGATGCTTCCTTGAGGCACGCCGCAAGAGACTGGAGGCTTGCTTTGTCGTGTGCTTGAATAAGTTATGTTACTTTTCTTTATATGTTCAACACTTCTGAATGCTTACTTTATATGTTGAACAGCAGGTTTCATTCTCATCATCCTGAGAAAAAAAAATATTTTAATGTCATTTTGGTAATGAAAGAAATATGAATATGAAAATCATTCGTATTTTTTTATTCTTTTCACTCACTGCATAAACAAATGGCCTCCACCACCTTTGTCATTTTTATGTGTGATGTGTCTTCACCACCATATGAAGACTGCGCAAGGCAATTGGAATAATTAATTATAAAATGATTCTAGAAAGACTTTTTTTCTTTGCCTTTCTTGATGTCAGCAGTGCTTATACTTCATGTGCTCTTATATTTTGTGTGTTGTTTCATGCATTGTTTTATTGTTGTAATGTTTTTTACCTGTTTTTTTTTTCTGCACATGATTGTAGCATACTTGGCTAGCCAAATGTAGCCCCGTGAATGTGGTTTACTGTCTGGAGATGAGCACATTAATGTAGCTATTTTAGTTAAGGAATGAGCAAAGACTTAATAGCTTATTCACTTAAACTATATAATTAGTTACCCTTAATGATGATCCACATACCACCGGCTGCAGTTTAGCCGTGTATACCCAAAGGGCAGCCGCATTGACTCCTCAAACTACGATCCTGTGCATTTGTGGAACTGTGGCTGCCAAATGGTGGCTCTGAATTACCAGACACCAGGTAAGTAGAATTTATAAAAGCCTCTGCATATGGGTAGAAAAAAATCAGTAAACAGGGGCTGTGTGCTCACGCCGACATTTTGACAAGTGGACTTTTAGTGTTGAGGAAAACAAGTCGGCTCAAACACACAACCCCCTGTTTACGCATTTTTTGCTGCACGAAACAAGTTGGGTTAGTATTTAGTAAAGATGATGAATGAATTAATGGTAATGGGATTTGTGAATTATTTTGGTAAGAAAAGTGGCAAGATTGTACTTTACAAGGGCAGCAATATTGAGAATTTTATTTTCTTTTTGCATGTGTTTAGCATTGTAGGTGTGTGGACTTTACGTCATTAATTGAATCGACGGGTTCTGAATGACTTGTAGTGGTTTTAGGTGAGCGGTATACGTGCTACCCCGTGAGGTTATGCAGTAATTAATGTGTGAGTGTACAAATGTGAAATAAAGTAAGATCAAAACCGGTTGTGAAAAAAATGGACATGCTCTGATAGGAGAATGCATATTTCATGTGATAACTTCTTTTTACGATGTGTGATATGGTGTTGAAATTTCAGGTTATGTTCAGTATTTATGCCTAACTAAACATATTCTTCATTTGCTGATACTGTGTGGTTATCAATGAAAATTGGTGGAATGCACTGTGGTGATTTATTTTGTAATGAGAACAAAAGAAACTTAGTTTTAGAGGGATTAGTGGCAAGTTTAGTTTCTCTACTTTCACAACAAAGAAACTGAAGATTGTAATATAGCTCGAAGTAGATTAAAATCGCTTTGAAAAAAGCAGCTTTTTGTGAGGTGGCTTTTAAAAAAAACTAAAAAGAGCTGATTGTCTAGTGTTCCCTGGGAATCGTCACCTGGCTGTTTGCCATTGCATTTCGTAAAAGTTCGCTAAAGCCATGAGTTCAAAATAACCATGTTTGCCCAGCTTTCATGATGGAAGAAATTATCTTAAAAAACATATATTTTCCTCATAGATGAGCTTTCACTTATACTTTTTATAATGCATTTTTATCAAGATCCATTTTTGGGCATCATCTTGAGTACGGACAACGTGTTTTTGGTACTTGTGATGGCCAGATCTGAGTGAAATTTTGCCCAGATATTCTTTAGCAGACGAAGGATGCAAGTATCTGCTTGAAAACTTGACATTGCCTGTATAATTATTACAAAGCTAAAGCCAGCCATTAGTATGAACTGGGGATTCTAAGAATTCTCACAATTTTTCTTGTCCATTAAATTGTCTTATATGCCCTTTCTTGATAATTATTTGTATTATGCAGTTAATGATGAGCAATATGAGCCATTAATGCCTCAGAACCATAAATGTTTAGTGGCATAAAAAAAATTTGTCAAAAATGAACTATATTTAGCACTGTCACAACACAAAACAAAAACTGTGCAACTTACTATAAAATCAATTACATATTTGAAATCAGCATAACATGCTATATGTACAGCAATAAGTGTATTGGCTTAGGCTACAGATTGATGCACCTTTTTTTTCCAATTGTATCCCTCCCCTTAAGGGTGTTCAAATTAATTGCATTTGACTGTGTAAAAAGCAAAAATGCCTAATGGGTGTGATTTTTGTTTTGAGAACAATGGGAAACAATATGAGAGGACCAGACAGATCCCATTTGCTTTTATTAGGCACTTTTCAAGGTATCCTTACTTGTTCGATTTTCAGGCTTCTCCTTAACTTTCCAGATTTTCTGAATAATATGAATGGCATGGTTTTGACATAATAGTAGTGGTGTGTCTCATTAAAATTGCATAGTCTCGGTGATGATTTTTAAAATTTTTTTTGTTATTGGGAAGCCTTGTCATTTATGTGGTCATTGTGTATAGAAATGCAGTTATTGAATCTTGCAATTCTATATTTCAGACCGACCAATGCAACTCAACCAAGGCCGGTTCTTGCAGAATGGGCGGTGAGTTACCCCACATTGCACAATGATATCCTAAAAGTGTACCCCATTTATTTTATGCTTATTGCTCGGTGTTGTGCTTCTTGGTGCTGTTAGTTATTTTTTGTCGAGCATTAGGCAAAGAGATAAGCCTTTCAGTGGTTATTAACAGTTACAGTAGTAAGTGTTCTCAGAATATACTTCATGATCAAAGACGTAATAAGTAATAAGAAAGGACAAAGTGGCATCCTGTCTCATTTCATGTTATGCTTTCATGGGCTTGTGTGTTGTACATACTTGCAATTTTGTACCTAATAGCCAAAAGAAACATGTTATATTAAAAAGCATTGTTCAGAAGTTAGCTTTTGGAAAAAGGCTTCCTCAGAAAATAATTTTGCAGTTGCATTACTATTGGAGTAAAATGAACATGATAGGAACAGAGCACTGGTGAGCTTGCTGAAAGTAATCATTTGTCAGCACACCCTATTGTATGCTCTATCACATGACACCATTAAAGTAAAATCATTTGGACGTAAAAGATTGGTAATTGAAGCACAAATTTGTAGGAGCACTGAAACATTGTACCTGCTACAATAAACTATGATATGTCTATATATCAACGCCCTACCAGTAAATCAAGTGTGCCTGAAGTCATGACAGCAGGTGAAGAACAGAGCTTCAGGTGGATAATCATGTAGTAGATCTTTTAGACCACTAAATTTTCTTAGGATCCAGAATAGACACAGATGGTAGAAGTAAAAAAAAAAAACATGGGTAAGAATAGTATTACAAAAGAGAGAAGTGGATGGTTTTTTTGAAGATTATGAAAAGCAAAATATTGGCCTCAGTACTCAAGGCCATCAAGTAAAAGTGCTGGTCTTCCCTGCCGTAATATATTTATGCAAGTTGTGCAACCTTTAGCAGTATGAAAGAAAAAAAGATTAATCTTTTATCATTTTAGCTATGGTGCTGACACGTAGTTCTGAGAATGTTCTGTAGAAAAAAACATCTTGGTCATGAAAGAGATCGGTTGTGGTTGTTTGTTTGAAACAAAGGTAATGAAACTGAAACTTTTTTTAATTTTAGTCGTGTAATGTGAGCTAGAAGTTCAGTGGAGGGAGTATTAATTTCAGCCAAAGGAAAAAAGAGGGTCATGTGTGCACAAAATGGCCAGGCAGTATTCGAGAGGCTATAGCGTAAGATCTAGATTAGCTTCAAGAACCTCAAGAACAGGTCGCACTGACATTTCATATACACATGGAATAGCCACCAACTCAACAGTATTTAATGACAACATGGTATTTTAGTATCTATGATCCTCTGCTGCTGCATTCAAGGTTGAATTCAGTTCTCAGACATTTAGGTGCTGGTACAAAGCAGAGATGCTTGCAAGCCACACATATGCACATTTGGGGCGTATTGAGGTGCTCTTAACTGGGCTGAATAATCCACTGCTCTTTTTTCTATGCTGAATTTCTGGTGGACCCTGTGTTTTGATATTTTAAGCCTTCCGAGTATTAGAATATAATGTGAGGGCAGAAAAATAACAAAAAATTATTCTGTAGCTTTAATATTGTGATAGAGAAGTTCACATTTTCTGGTCCACAGTAAAAGTTGCCGCTAAATAAACTGAAGCTACCTGAAAATGCAGCTCAAGGAAGCATCGCTGGGATGTGTTCGTCACCTTTAAAAAAAGGGAATAGCCCCGCCGCGGTGGTCTAGTGGCTAAGGTACTCAGCTGCTGACCCGCAGGTCGCAGGATCGAATCCCGCTGCGGCGGCTGCATTTCCGATGGAGGCGTAAATGTTGTTGGCCCTAGTGCTCAGATTTGGGTGCACGTTAAAAAACCCCAGGTGATCGAAATTTCCGGAGCCCTCCACTACGGCGTCTCTCTAAATCATATGGTGGTTTTAGGAGGTTAAACCCCACATATCAATCAAAAAGAGGGAATATCATTGTGGAGAGAGAAAGGCCTGATTGTTTTCTATTTCAAAACCTGGGGAGTCTGGTTTAACTAAAGTTTGTTTATCTATTCTTTCTCTTTTTTCTTTCAAGGTGTGGATATGTACTTCGACCTGATTTCATGCATGATGATGGTTACGACCCATATGACAGGAGCACACTGAAGTCTGTTCACCCAGTCACGCTGTCAATCAAGGTAACCCTGTTTTCTCAGACAGATTTTGTTGTGTTTGCTAGTGACATACTTGCAGGCACTGTACATGTACTACACAGCAGATCAGGACCTTTCAGTTAATGAACTTTTTAGCAGCTAAGAAAACTATGGTTGTTAAACAAAGAACATATTAGCACTCAAGGGCAGCGACCAACTGTGAAATGTTACAGTTGCACATTCAATGTGTATGAGATACAATTAAGTAAGTAAAGGAAAGAAGTGGAAATTTTAAGGACTCGTTTTTCTTTATTAGACACAACATGAATGAGAACTAACAGAAAGTGATGCCAAGAAAGTATAGGGAATGTTTATAGTAGTAAATGTAATGCTAATGTGAAGAAAGAAAAGTATACAAAAAGATAACCTGCTGCGAGCAGGGAACGAACCTGCCACCTTCGAATAACGTGTCTAGTGCTCTACCAACTGAGCTACCATGGCGGCCAATCTTTCGTCCACTTTATATGGTATATATGTGGTATATATGTGGCCTTACTGTCTGTTAGTTTTCATTGATTGAGTAATTAATCTTACATGATTTTAAAATAAAAGTATGCCTATTTGTGAATTCTGTTGTATCCGAAAAGTAAATGCTAAAAAGTTAGGCACTTATAAACAAAGCATAAAAGCAGCAACAAAGTCGCAAAGTAAGACTGAAGGCGCAAAATGGAGCACTTGAGAAGAAAATAGTAGGTGTAACTTCGAGTGATTTGCTAATAAGCGCCAAACACAACTAGTGTGAATTCAGGAAAGAGTGAATTTATGAAGCATGCATGGTGTAAAATAGGTTGTTCATTAGAGTAACGGAATCGGCACCATAGAGTGAAACAGTCATATGACAAAAAAGTCGAGCTAAGTGATGATATCACAAAGTTAATTTCTTAACATTGTCAATCCCAATAGAGATAATAACCGGATGAAAAAAAGATTTCAAATAAACTAATTAATTGCATACAATCTCAACAATTGTATAATAGAGGAAATGCAATTTTCGAAGTCTACATGAATGAAGATACCTTGGTCATTACACCTAAATTGACCCTGTCACCAATGCTGCAAACAAACTCGAAAGAACGAAGAATGAATCAGGCAGGCATTACTATACAATGAAACTCAATTTCTGGCTGCAATACATGCAAGGTTTCCAAAACCAGTCAGCAGAAGAATAACCACTTAATATTTTCCACCAGTAGTAATAGAAAAGTTTGGTATAAAATTACTGAGGAAATGAACAGCAAAATGATGAGGCTTTCTTCATAATTGAAAAGCAAGCAAATCACTCCCAACAAATAATGTGAAGCAGTCTAAATGTGCACTACTGGTAATGCACAGAGTTGGCTGTTCCGTTCTTTTATTGGCAATAGAAAGCATATTTGAATGCATCTGCAGTGAATTAAGAGGGTGGGAGTGTTTTTTGTACATGAGCCTTGATTCAGAATTCAAGGTACAAGAAATTTTTTTATTTATATTGCTTCTGTTGTAACTGCCTTTCAAGTGTGTTATAACTTCACTGCCTAATTTTTGAAGTTCTTGAGAGTAAGTGATATGGTAACTGCTGTAATGTCTGAGTATTCATAATTGTAGGGCTTGGTCTTTATTTTGCATGGGACCTTGTGAGGATGATCTCTCTTTAGCTCTGCCTGTCAGCTATATGTTTCAAGTTTTACTGAGAGTGTATAGACAAACGCTAAATGTAATGAGTAAATAAGAAATGGCATTTCGTCATGTGCATGCAAGTTTAGTAGAGAGATGAGTGCAGTACGCACTAGGAACAGTGTAAATAGGACAAGCACAAATGTCACTGTAATAAATATTTTTCCAGACCATCTAATATGCATGCAAGAACAACCCAATGTACATCTATGTGATAAAGATAACAGCTCAATATGTCTTCTTGTTATTGCTAAATACTTTCTGCCCCTGTAACTGCTGCTTGGCGCTTATATTGTACATTTAGTGCAGTGCTCACTACATACAAACTGATGATGTGTTATGTTCGCATTTTAATTTGTTTCCTGTGTTTAATGTGCCCCAGGTCATCGCAGCACGTCACCTCATGAAATCGGGGAGAGGCATTGTCAGTCCATTTGTTGAAGTGGAGATTGTTGGAGCTGATTATGACAGCTGCAAATACAAAACGGGAACAATACGTAAGATGTAAAATGTTTAGTAATTATCAGGATGATGAAAAATGTCTTCTCATGGAAGTTTGCTAAGGGTAGCTTGCAAGCTAGGTAATTTGGCCTGACTTTCACCATAATTTCATTTACCCTAAAGTCAAGCAGACAGTGCAACAATATAGCCAAGTCTGATTACATATCAGTATGCATTTGGTATGTATCATTAAAAAATCAACACGGTATTTTCATAAAGTGTTTAAAAAAATGGCCACTGTAAGATGATGTTACTATGTGCCTTCTATGACATTCCTTTGATGAGCACATTCGGGAGATTTTCTGTCATCGATCAGAATGTACCGCAGTGTCATTCTGCTTTCACCTCATTATCTTAGAAAACTCCATTCGCCCTACCCTTGGCACTTGTTACTGGTTTTTGTAAGACCATGCCAACTGTTTCCTCCTACTTTGTCTCCTTTATTTTATTTTATTTTATTCATTCAAAGGATTTGCCATGGAGCATAATGAGAAAAGAAAAACACCTACACTATACTATGCTTCTCAATTGTTGGACCCTCAGAACTGTTACGACTTTGCTCATGACTGTGAAACTCAGCTCATGAAACAATGATGCAAAAGGACGAGCAGTACAAGAACATTTCTAATATCATGCTTTTCATTGCCGTGGGTTTTTCTTCTATGTGAGATTGCTGTGAAAAACTAATTAGTCAGAAAAAAATATATGTATATATATAAATCTTTTCTTTTCAGTATATAAAATGCTGTAATTACCATCTGGGCTTTCAGCCGTTATGGCTAGTCTTAGTCCCATGCGCGAACATCAGATAAAATACTCCGAACTGTCGTAGAAACTCTACAACTGCACACACCATCAGGAGACATGCCACCTGTCATGCATACTAAGCAGCTGCACGTACTTAACAAGAATGTTAATAGCAGAACTATGTACGCACACACTCACAATGAACAAAAATCTCAAGCAGATTAAAAATAGGCTACTTGGACCGTAAATGTGTGTTTGATGGCAATCACTGTACCTTTAAACACTACGACGTCTGATGCTGTAGCTGTAGCAGCAACCTCTGTGGTCACCACCAGGTTTGGTTCGTATGCAATAATAAGCTAAATTTGAATTATCCAGCGAAGGCTAATTAAAGGATCAAAACAATGAAAGTTTGGTCCCATAGATTTGTATAGATCCCATAAAAATGCTGGTATCTTCAGTAGAGATAAATTAACAGAAATCTATTGTATTATGAATGCCCGGTAATTGATTCACTAGCTAGGTGGATTTTCAAGTCTTAGAAGTTAACTAAGTAATATATAAAAAGGAAAAGTGGGGTTAAATTAAATTGATTTATTAATTGTGCAAACCATAGAGAAATGGTTGAATGTTGTGAACATAGCTTTATGCAAGCAGTGTAGCATGCACAAGTGATGATAGGCTGGAAGGCAAATAATTTCATTCATAAGCCTTTCATTTTATGAGATTTTGCATGTAATCAATATATTCAAAGAACTTTTAAACTTAATTGCATAGTGACTGCTATATTTCTTGATGTACAGCACTCCAAAATATTGTAAACTGTTCCTTTTCTCTTTCTCTCCCACTCTATGTTTATTTTTCTTTCTCAGCGGATAACGGTTTGAACCCTGTGTGGAATGAGGCGTACATGTTTGACATCTGCAATCCCAGCGTCGCACTTCTGCGCTTTGTGGTACAAGATGAGGACATGTTTGGTGACCCCAATTTTCTCGGTCAGGTCACTTACCCTGTGTGCTGCCTAAGAACAGGTAGGCTGATACACTAGAATTCCATGTATTTGTCTCAATATTCTATGCTCTTTTGTGGCTTATGCTTTGTTACTGGCTAGTCACTTACACACATACATGTGATCATGTTGCCAAAAAAGCAACCTGTATATGTGTGTATGTGTTTTGTTCCCGTTCTAGCCATACATCAGTTCAAACATAATTGCTCAAATGTTAATGTTTCCTATGTATATACCTGTTAGCAACCCCCCCCCCCCCCCCAACTTTTCTTACTTGTCTACAATGAGCTACGGATTATTAGAATAGCACATACATGTGTATTGTTACCCCCTTTGAGTTATGGCTGGCAAAATTTTTATAAATGTTGTATTTGGGAACTACCATGCAACTTCAAGTTGATAGCAAGTGGAGAAATGGGTTTTGTGTTATTTTAAAAAAATTTTATAATCGCATATCACTTTGACTGGATAACAAATTTTAATGTAGTGTTCTATGCAGTTGTCTGTTTAGTATAAAAAATGATTGTACTTTTCTCTTATACACTTTTTTATGTTGAAGTGGTGACAATTCGTGATTAGCAATTCCAGTTGCACACAGTGGCACATGAAGTTTTGAATCAGCAGGTCAGCACTGCTGTTACATTACTATCATCCGTTCTGCAGGTTACCGCAGCATTCCCTTGAAGAATGAGTACAGTGAAGAGCTTGAGCTGGCATCTTTACTGGTGCACCTTGAGATGCACGCGACGAAGGTAAAAATGATTGTTTCCTTTTTACTTGTGGTGTTGGTAGAAATCCATGCTTTAGGGCTTTCATTGTTTTAATATCACTAGTGTTTAGGATATGACACCTTCTTTCGAAGCTGTGTTATGTTGCTTTATAGTGCATTTCGTGCTTTACAAGCAACACTGTGAAATGTATGAAAGTGGCACAGTGATATTAATCTAATCTGTCAATAACTATTTTTCAATCTGAAGCACAGTACAGTTATACTGACTTCTCCATTTGATACAGCTGTTAAGTGTGATTAATATTACAAAATTGCATTAATATGTATTTGTAACCTTTCTTACTTTCAGCCTGTGGTATTTCATGATTTGTTCATAAATTCCCACAGCACTTTCTGTGGCCTTCGATAATGCACCCACTACACTTGTTCAGGGATAAACAGATTCATGCCTGTGTAATGATAACCTGCTGGCACTGGCTAGAACTAGAGGAAGCAGCTCCAGGTGGATGCTCATCAAACTAAACATGGTGTGGATTGTTCATTGTGTCATCTGCTAGTGACTCCTTGTCGTGTGTTCTCCAGTCCACAATGTTTTTGGAGTAATGTGGTCAGGGTTATAAATGGCAAAGCAGGTTGTGTGTTACATTGCTACTTCTATTTTGTTATACACAACGACAAACCTTTTTAACATCTTGACAAGTGCCATCTTAATGGAACATGTGGCATTAAATGGCACAACAACAATGCCCACTGTTGAACACCCACATGCTACATGAAACAGATGGAGAAGCTACAGTGGGGAAAAATCAAACACATTTAAGATGCTCAGAACTGGAAACATTGTGCTCGCTTCATTTTGCACCACAATGTGTTCATCACATATAGCATACAGAAGAGCTTGAGTAGGGGCCGGTTGGAACATCATGGATGAAATAGGCAGCGCTGCAAAGTTCACAAGTATGTGTAGTCGTTATTGTCTGCCGTCATTGTGAACATTGCAGTGCTACCTATTTCAGTCCACATACAGCCTAACTAAAAAACTAATTAGGCCTGGAACAAGTTATCCTTTGCTGAAACAGATTAGCATGTCAGTTTGGGAATGTCCTTGTCGAAAGACAATGCATACCTCATCCAAGTATAATATAAATTTTATGTGTATTTGTGCATACATGCAGCATTAAAAGGGAATATATTATCAATTTGCCACTGTTGCTACATGTCTTGCCGGGAAATCGGCTAAAAGTGCTTATACTGGGTGCTGCCATCTGCCTATTTTCACAAGTGCAGCGACGGTGCTGCCATTTGTAGTAAAATAAGCGCATCAAAAGCAGCAAACCGATGTAGAAGTGAGAAAAAAAAAACATTAAAGCAAGCATGGGGAAGTTATTGTAAAGATGCTTCGAAATTCTTTGAATATCATCAGTGGATACTTTTTCCATATGTTGAGCTTAGTGCTAAGCTCTCTATCGACATAACGTCTACGAACAGGAGGAAGATGAAGCATATGTGTGCATTCAGCGCCTGAGAGACGAAAGTCGTGAACTGGGACGAGCTTTAGAGGAAAGTGAACGTCGAGGGGATGTGCAACAAGCGCAAGCGCTACGCCAACAGCTTTCCACCACCCAGGAACAGCTGCGCACTAAGCGTGAAGAACGGAGGTAAGAGGGCTAGGTGACTGTATGGCCGAACCTGAATTTTCATGCCTGCTACATGTGCTTTACTTTCTACAGTAGTTTTTTGCACTGCTAGTAATTATTAGATGTACAACGAAATGACCAGCATGTGCATTAAATAAAAGTGTTCTCTATTACGGCATTCTTTAAATGCTGTGTGCTTCAACTTATTGATCATTAAAATCTGTGATTAGTTCTCTTCATTTTATTAACAAGGGTTCTGTGTGCCATAGCAGGCTTGTCAAGGCCATCACTGAATGATGCCATCCATGTCCTCCTATGCTAGAATTAGTAGCAGCTCACGAATATTCAAGGAAAATAAATGAGAACAGATGAACGTGGTTTCCTAGTATGGGTCCACAAGATTGAGACAATAAATTTTTGAAAATGTGCATGTACTAATTTTTCTGCCAGCATTCGTAATGGTTTCTTCGTTACCTACCTTTGGTATGATAATCTGCAAGTGTGAGTGCCAACTTTTGAACCTTATTAAAAGTTTACTGAGTGAGCCCTCGAAAAATAATCCCTTCCATTTTTATTACATAAACTCGCACAAAACATTTGGTGAATATTAGTAAGTAAATTTCAGTTTATTGTTTTCTTCTATGCTGAATCTTTCATTTAAAAGAAATATGCTTACCAATCCCGCAATTTATAATGCTACAATCTTCAGAATTGAAGTACGTAATAGTGTGAATCTCAACAGTAGAATGAAGTTGAAGGTGGATTTGGAAGTATTCCTTTTAGTGATTACATACAGTAGACTCTCATTAATCGGAACCTGAAGGGACCAGTAAAATATGTTCTGTTCAACAGAAGTTTTGTTTAGTGAGAGATGATTAGGGGTGCAGAATGCAAGAATAAAACCAATCTTGTTAGAAGCATGTGTTTTATTTAAGCAGCAGTTCCATTTAACAGATTCCTGTTTACTGAGAGTCTATACTTGAAATCATTGCTCAGTTGTACAACCAACATTATGCGCCATGGACTGCAAAAAAAAAAAGAAAAAAGGCATAAGTAGTCTTTAGCATTGCAAGTGTGTCTTTCTGAAAATTTAGTGCATCCATGTATTTAGTGGTATTCCTATCAAAAAAGAGTAACTATCAAACAAATATTCAAGCATTAATAGTCCTCCTCCTTTGAGCCTGGAAAAATGTCATAAATGAAATGTTTAATTCAGAGCCATTTCACGTGCTGTTCTATTTAGTTAGCAAAAGGATTGTATATTTGTATTATGTGTTCTGCAAGACAAAAGATAGAATGCACATACATATTGTTTAAAAGCGTGCATAATATTGCTTACATTTCTGTTCTATACTTGAAGCAAAACGAGCTCTAGTTCAAACCCGAGGTGCTGCCTGAAGGGCAGACCTTGTGAGGTGCAGTGGATGAACCTGAAGTGAGGCAGAATGAATGACTGCAATTTTATAGAATGTTTGTACTGCCACCATCTTGACACCAGATACCACACCGGCATATCATGCATACACATGCAGTTTTTTATGTATTTCCAATAGTATCCAAGCTTATGGCCTGCACCTATGCATTAACAGAACATTACATTTTACATACATTGGATCATTTGTCGACCTCGGAAAGCAGATGTCTCAATTAAACTGCATGAGTGGAGAAAGTGCACTTGTAGATGGAACTAAAGCATAAAGCATGGCTCATTCTAATCATTGTTTAAACCTTTCTTAGCCCACAGCTACATATCTATCACTGGTGATCGATGTTTACCAAAGTTTAGTTAAAGAAAGGTGCCGCATTCCTCCACTTCTGGCATCATCTTAGCAACTGTATACAAACTGTTATAGTCATTTCTACATATTCTGCATTTTTATGTTTGGGGCGGACTTCCAAAGAGCATGCAAACTTAAAATTCAAAGTGAAGCACATCTGAGCAATACGATGTTATCGACATTCAAAACCACACATGGTCGGAAGAAAGGAGAACAAAGCAGTTCCACCGGTTTCCTATGTTGCTTAGAAGCAACCAGACGACTTATTTATTCATTCATTTATTTATTTATTTATTCTGTTAGTTAGGTATTTCATTTCTATGACTTACTTTAAATTATTGTCTGCTTTGAAATGTTTATTTAATGGCTGTATTTAGGTATGTAAAATTGTGTTCTATATATTTTCTACTGAAAAAATAGTGGGGAGGGGGGTAACCAAGGCATCAATGTTTTGACCCGATAGCGTTAAAGAGCTCGTGTCGCAGAAAACCCGCCGCCAGCGTTGGCCCCGTTGGTTTTGAGCGAAAAATCGTCTGTGCGTCTGCGACCGAAAAATCAAGTTACGAAGATAGCCGCTGAAGGCTGCTTTGAAGAAAAAAAAAAAGTGCTCAAGGTCACGAGGCGCGGTAATTTTTTTGCTCTGCCACCCCTCCCTGCTTGCTTTCAGCGCTTTTGTCGGGACGAGAGAAGAGATAATGCAATTGCAGCATGCGACAAATCTTTGTGACTCCACTCGCACTGGACGGATTCTTAAAAATTTTGCGGCATTGAATTTGTGAGGCGATAAGCTCTTCTAGTGAATTCATTCCATGGTTACTTGAAGAAGTGTTTCAGGGCCCCTTTAATGCATTTTGTTCAACAGGTGTCACGGCGAAAACGAACCCATTACGATAATAGCACGCGCTGGTCTAATCTACTGTGTGCATATTTGTGTGCGTGCATGTGTATGTAACAAAACATATGAATAAGTATCCACTTAGCAGTTGAAGGGTGCGCTAGGGGGCGGATTTCGCTATCGCGTTCAACTCTTAAAGGCGAAGCTTAAGGGTGCCTCAATTTTTTATTATGTCTAATTGCATTTTTCCTAACTCTAGGAATAATAATAAAATGTGGGGTTTAACATCCTAAAACCATGATATGATTTTGAGAGGCATCATAGTGCAGAGCTCTGAAAATTTAGCCCATCTGGTGTTCCTTGGCGTGAACTGGCTTCACAAATTTACGTGGCCGTCTGCCATTTCGCCTCCATCAAAATGCCACTGCCGGGGCTATAGTCGAACCTGCAACCTTTGAGTCAGTAGCCGAGCACTGTAACTGCTACACCACCACGGCAGACATAACCCTAGGTCTAGAGTACTTAATCTATTGTTATAACTCTTTAAATAAAGAATGCCAAGTAATCTTATAACAGTTTGTATGCTTGGAAATTGTGTTAAATTTTTTTTTGCCTGTGGTATTACTTCTTATTCAAAAGTTGTCTTTTTTTGTTTATGAAATGTTTTAGCATACAAACTTTTTGGGTTTCTTATTAAAACTGTAGGGAACTATGCGAATAACGACGAAGAAGCAAGAAACGGCAAGCCACAGCGTTGGTGCACACGCGCGACCCGAGCTTGCGCTTGTTTTGTATTTTCGGCCTGTTGACGTTCCTCGCTCTTCTGGCATTCCTCGGCCTTCCAGTAGGTCTGTACGTAAATAAACTAAGTGACATCTGTTGGAGGTGTGTGGACTCCCGTACAAACCTGGAACTTCGCTCCCGTAAGCTTCCCCCTCTACGTGACATGAACATGGCCACCGAGACGCCTCTCTAGGTGGGACCTTCGACCGTCCATGTCACTTGCGGCGCCGTGTATCCTCAACGAGATCCTCCTATCTTCACGGGCTCCACTGAGTCGGACGTCGAAGATTGGTTGGCGAGGTACGACAAAGTTGGCACAAGTAACAAATGGGACGACCCAAGTAAGCTGGGCTACATCACGTTCTACCTTGCGGACACCGCGCAACTGGGGTTTAATAACCATGCAGCTGACATTCCTATGTGGTCTGCATTCAAGACTGCTATTACGGACGTCTTTGGACTACCTGCGGCACGCAAGCTTCAAGCCGAGCACCGTTTACGTCACTGTGCGCAGCAACCAGGCGAGACCTACACGGGCTTCATTGAAGATGTGTTGCATCTATGCAACCGCGTTAACTCTATCATGCTTGAGGAAGAAAAAATCAGGCACATTTCGAAAGGCATTGACGACGGCGCCTTTCAGATGTTGCTCGCGAGAAATCCCCCCACAATTGCTGTGCTCGTTTCTCTCTGTCAGAGCTTCGATGAGTTGCGTAGGCAGCGCGGAATTGCTCGTCAGGCCCTCACGACACCAGACACTCTCGCAAGCTTGCACCTAGCTGCCCATCCTACCGATCAGCAGCCGCTGCTTTCGACAATCAAGGACTTCGTCCGCAAAGAGGTAGCGCGCCAGCTGTCACTGCTGCCACTGACACATGAGCCCGCGCAAGCTTTGGCACCGGACCACCAACATGCCATTCGGACCCAACTCGCTGAGCCCTTCCACCGATGCATCAGCAACCACCTGTCACTACGCCTCTCATGTACGCCGCCGTCGCTGCTCGGCCTACGCCACAGTGTATGCCGTATTCTCAACCTGCCACGCCGCCCTATGTCGTGGGGGGCGTGGCACATCCACCCTTGTAGCCTTGACCAGTATGGCCGCTCCTGCCGGAACTGTTTTGTTCACTCCGTCTGATGTATTTATCCGCCGCCGTAGTCTACACCTGCTCTTTGCCATACTCATCGTGGAATCCGGTGCTAGCGCCATACTCGTTGCGAACTCGCTATCGTCACCAGTTACCTTACTTCGCGGAGAATGTTTGGGTGACATACAAGACGTTGACCTGTTGCGCCCTCTGGAGTTTGCCGAACACCCACCTCACCTCCAGCTCAATGCTATGACGCCACCTTTGGCCACACTGCCCGTGCCAGACTCATTCCAGCCCTCTGTTGCCGTTGAGCTATCGCCGACACAAAGACGTGAACTCTTGTCCCTTTTTCGAGAGTTCCGTTCTGCCTTCGATTGCGCTCAACCATCTTTGGGTCGCACAGCGAACATCACGCACCACATTGACACCGGTACTCATGCTCCCTTACGCCAGCGATCATGTCGAGTTTCAGTGGAAGAGCGCCGTATTATCAACGAACAAGTCGACGATATGCTCAAGCATGGTGTCATCCAG